TTGATCACCGTTGTTGCAGTACATTTCATATCAGACCAACAGTACAGTAGCACAATGGTAACTAGCTTTTCCCGTCAAAGTCCAGTCTCGCAATGATCTTCAAATAATGTCATGAAATATTACAGAAAATATTATTCTCCCTCTCTCAGCTGCTCTTTACTTTAAGCGACCACTCTGTCTCACAAACGTATTCATTCAACCACTCTGCTTCAATGGTGGGATTTCCTGTCCCTCTTATCAGATAGATGCTAGAACAATGGGCTCAGCCCACACAGTAACACGCACAAGGCCCCTCTGTCTGTCCGTCCACCGGCCTGGCCTGCTGGACGAGCCACTGTCCTTGCGGCGTTCCCCTACAGCCAGATGTCCCCCGTTGGACCCAAGCCAAAGTCCCTGACCATTCTGGAGCAGGAAACATGATTTTAAAAACAGATACAGTCCATGACTGTACACTAGTATGACTGTACACTACCATGGGGAGGAGATTGACAGTGACCTGAGGCATCACCTGCTCAGAGGATTGACACAGTGACCTGAGGCATCACCTGCTCAGAGGCTTGACACAGATGGCTGAGAATATGACCCTCAGATCTATGTCAATCTAAATAAAATGACTCCACTACATTATTAAACTGGATCAAAAGAGAAGACAGTAATGTCCCAAAAATTAACTAAACTGCACACATATGAAAAGTCACATATTTCTAATACAAATCATGATTAACAAAACTCTTTTTTTATGGGTTTATTTGACTTATATTACAGTAACACAAGAGAAAGCAACACATTGAAAATTTGCACAACAAACAACTGTCTCTTGTAAAATAAATATACAACAAAATGCACAAAATAAACGTATCTTTGATTAGGGTAAAAATACAAAGGTCCTAAAAGTTATAAAACAAGCATCATATTATAATCAACCGTTACAGAGTAAACTTGTTAGGGGTAATCAGACAATATTTTGGTTGTGCTGTCTTTAACAATGTGATGAATGACACAGATATAACCATGTAACTACTATGTTATTACTGTGTAATTACCTATTTTGAGGTCTCCAATTCCATTGGACAAAAGGTAGAATGAGCATTGCATTGATGTGAGTTATTGCCCTACAGCTCTACTCGTCCTCGCTTGTAATTAGCCAAATTAGACAATATTTGCCTTTGTCATGAAAGTACGAAGCGTTCCTGTTTGGGGCTGAAAACAAACTAGATTTTTAAGGCAACGCTATAAAAAAGCATTTGAAAAGAAATAACAAATGTTTTGGCTTGCTTGTAGAAGACAGCATGCGATGGTTAGCCAAGGGGAAAATGACACTACACACGGAATCATTAATTCCAAACAAAGACGTCTTCAGTAGTCACAAGAAAACAGAAAAACAAGCAGCTTACCTCCAAAGAAGATGTACAGTATAGATTTAGTGGATGTATCTCTGTGTATCTATTTGTGATAGGACATTTTTTATATTACAGCATATCAGAGGTGTGCATTAAATATACCATATCAATAGAAAATAAAAAATAAAAAATAAAACATTAAGACGGCATCCACATTACTTTACATTGTATTCACACACATATTTACAAAGAGCTAGCTTTGGGAAGGAGACAGGGTTGAAAAGTGAGATAGGTAAATTTCCTACATTTCATACTGTGGCACCTACACATGCAGACACAGGGACGCACACATGCACACACTTTCAGTCCGTGCATTTCCAGGTGCTCTTCACAACAATATCTCAGTGTGGGAAGAGGGAAGTCCTAGTGATGGGAGTCTGAAGTGATACAGAGCTCTGGTTGAGAGATGGTGGAAGTGACACTTCCGTCAGAGGAAGCAGCTGGACACAAAGAGTAGAGGGAAGGCTAAGAAATCAGCTACTGATGGCTGGGATGGGAGCACTGAGGGTACTGCCCACAGGACTGTAGGGAGCTATAAGACATGTCACAGCCTTGTTTGATTAGACACCTCTAACATCTAACTTTCACATCTAACTTTCAATTGGCTGTTCATCTGAGCAGCATTTTTCCCATTGGCTTTTTCTCAGAACAGTTATTGGTTGTTGGTTTGTTCTGCAAGATCCACATTGGCATTTGAAACGAGCAAAATTGGCTTTTTACCTCAAAACAGAGAGCCTTCTTTAACAATCTGCATGAGTAGAAAGCATCCACTGGCTAATCACCCTTTCCCTTATACAGTATGCTCATCATAACCATGCACTGTTTGAACCTTCCCCATCTTTGGTGACAGTTTTTATACTAAAGACACCCCACAGTGATACGGCAATACCTGTCTGATGACACATGTAAACAAGGGTCACATATACTGTAAAGGATAGAAGAGGTGCTGACACAAGCAACATATTTACATATTTACAAGGATTCTCCAGCAAGCAACCTTTGCTGAATCTAAGCTAATGCTACCTCCCACATCATACACTTATTACTAGTCATACACAAGGTCAATATATACACATACAGTGAGGGAAAAAAGTATTTGATCCCCTGCTGATTTTGTACGTTTGCCCACTGACAAAGAAATGATCAGTCTATCATTTTAATGGTAGGTTTATTTGAACAGTGAGAGACAGAATAACAACAAAAAAATCCAGAAAGATGCATGTAAAAAATGTTTTAAATTGATTTTCATTTTAATGAGGGAAATAAGTATTTGACCCCCTCTCAATCAGAAAGATTTCTGGCTCCCAGGTGTGTTTTATACAGGTAACGAGCTGAGATTAGGAGCACACTCTTAACCCTCCCGTTGTCCTAGGGTCAAAATGACCCGCCACTGTGTTGAACCAACTTTATTTAATTTTTATATTTTGGGGATCATTTGTGAGAAGGAGGCAGTGAGACTTTAAAGAAAGTATCACTGCCTCCTTCTCACAAATGATCCAAAAAATATAAAAATTAAATAAAGTTGGTTTAACACAGTGGCGGGTCATTTTGACCCTAGGACAACGGGAGTGTTAAAGGGAGTGCTCCTAATCTCAATTTGTTACCTGTATAAAAGACACCTGTTCACAGAAGCAATCAATCAATCAGATTCCAAACTCTCCACCATGGCCAAGACCAAAGAGCTCTCCAAGGATGTCAGATTGTAGACCTACACAAGGCTGGAATGGGCTACAAGACCATCGCCAAGCAGCTTGGTGAGAAGGTGACAACAGTTGGTGCGATTATTCGCAAATGGAAGAAACACAAAATAACTGTCAATCTCCCTCGGCCTGGGGCTCCATGCAAGATCTCACCTCGTGGAGTTGCAATGATCATGAGAACGGTGAGGAATCAGCCCAGAACTACACGGGAGGATCTTGTCAATGATCTCAAGGCAGCTGGAACCATAGTCACCAAGAAAACAATTGGTAACACACTACGCCGTGAAGGACTGAAATCCTGCAGCGCCCGCAAGGTCCCCCTGCTCAAGAAAGCACATATACAGGGCCGTCTGAAGTTTGCCAATGAACATCTGAATGATTCAGAGGAGAACTGGGTGAAAGTGTTGCGGTCAGATGAGACCAAAATCGAGCTCTTTGGCATCAACTCAACTCGCCGTGTTTGGCGTCAGGAATGCTGCCTATGACCCCAAGAACACCATCCCCACCGTCAAACATGCAGGTGGAAACATTATGCTTTGGGTGTTTTTCTGCTAAGGGGACAAGACAACTTCACCGCATCAAATGGACGATGTACGGGGCCATGTACCGTCAAATCTTGGGTGAGAACCTCCTTCCCTCAGCCAGGGCATTGAAAATGGGTCGTGGATGGGCATTCCAGCATGACAATGACCCAAAACACACGGCCAAGGAAACAAAGGAGTGGCTCAAGAAGAAGCACATTAAGGTCCTGGAGTGGCCTAGCCACTCTCCAGACCTTAATCCCATAGAAAATCTGTGGAGGGAGCTGAAGGTTCGAGTTGCCAAACGTCAGCCTCGAAACCTTAATGACTTGGAGAAGATCTGCAAAGAGGAGTGGAACAAAATCCCTCCTGAGATGTGTGCAAACCTGGTGGCCAACTACAAGAAACGTCTGACCTCTGTGATTGCCAACAATGGTTTTGCCATCAAGTACTAAGTCATGGTTTGCAGAGGTCAAATACTTATTTCCCTCATTAAAATGCAAATCAATTTATAACATTTTTGACCTGCGTTTTTCTGGATTTTTTTGTTGTTATTCTGTCTCTCACTGTTCAAATAAACCTACCATTAAAATTATAGACTGATCATGTCTTTGTCAGTGGGCAAACGTACAAAATCAGCAGGGGATCAAATACTTTTTTCCCTCACTGTATACACAGGAACGTCAACTATAAGCTGAAGTCATAGTACCATGCTTATCGGTTCATTAGATTGAGACGTTTTGAGACTAAACCTACTGAATATCATTTCAACCATTGGCCCTAGAAATGTCTCTCCTTCACATAATCACCAAAACTGAATGTGAGGAATAATACTAACATTAACTCTTAAAAGATGCAACAGAAAAAAGGTCAGCTGAAAGCTTCATTACATGATGCCGACATCTAGAAAAATGTTCAATTTCAAGTACTTTCACTTCCAACGATAATTGTCTTTCAACCATTATAAATGCTACATGATTTATTTTGAGAAAAATAACTATATTTAAAACGAATAAACATAGTAATTCAGTTTAAAACATTGACAACGGAAATGTGAAACAAACAAAAACATTGTATGAAACGCATAAGATACGGTAACAGCAACATTGAAGAAAGTCCACTGAAAATAGCACTACTATGGAGCTATAAATTATAGTGTCCATTTCAAACAGCACATCAAAATTGATATACAGTAGTGACCTAGGAATGGTACCCCCTAAGGGGGCCAGGAGCAGAGGTTTCGAGAGGATCCTTCTTTAAGTCTCTGTCTGAAGGGGGAGGCTAATAGCTAGACATATGGTTGGGATAGGGTGTGGTGGGGTGTTTGGGACGGCACTGAACAGGCACTTTATGGGGCAGCCATCGTGGGTGGGGCCTTACACCCGGTGGACCCTGACCCCGGTGTCCGTCTCCCCCAGAAAGATGTCAACGCTGGTGCTGGCCAATAGGGGCTGAGTGGAGGCGTTGCTGCTGCCCACAGAGTTGAGAAGAAGGACGTTGGCATTCTGGGTCCCCTGGTCCACGCTGGTAACCTGTTGCCCCATTGTAACCGGAAACCTGGAGCTGAAGTTCAGATAAATCTACACAGAGAGAGGGAGAAACGGAGAGAAACAGAGAGAAAGAGAGTTCATACAATATTCTATGTAGTGCTGGCGGGGTGTTTTCATTGCAGTTCTGCTTACTGCGTGAGAAACATGCAGCGTGGTTAAATAAAGAAGGGGAAGGCGTGAGAAGAGAATACCTGCTCTGTGTTAGCTAAATCGCTCTATCAGATCTCACTGGCATATTTCAGGAGTGAGAGGTGAGCTGAGTTCATGAGGAGAGGCGTAAGTCATCATGACACAGTGAAAGAGGTGATTATGGCACAAGTGATCAATCCTATTCATCACTTCCTAACTGTCGTGTGACGTTCAGTGGGTACTGTGTGTGTGTGTGTGTGTGTGTGGGTGGCGCATGATGTGTGTGGCGTGTGTGTTAACTGCTAGTCTGACTGGGGTGGGGGGGAGCCCACAGACATGTTCTTTGTACTCTGTTTGGACTCCCTGTAAACTGTAAACCCCAAGGCATTTTTAACTTAAATACTAGTAGTAAATTGAACTCAAAGTCAATGAAAAGTAATTATTACACAAAATGGTCCCATCAACTTAAGTTATGATAACACATTTACTTTTTTCCCAGGTTTGTTCATGTACATTGAGTGATTGATTGATTAATCTTATGCTACACAAAGATAAATAACATACATTTTTCTAAACAAATCCAATAATTTAGTTAGATTTTTTGCACCCGTTACAGAAATGGTCCTTACAGTTTAAATGGTTTAGGTAGTCTCCTCATACTGTCGCTAACCCTGGCAGTCATTATGAATAGAAATTAAACATCACTTTGCAAGCCAGCATAAAGCGATTTGCAGATAGGGTTGCAAAATTCTGGTAAATTTCCCAGGTTTTCCAGAAATCACAACTGGGAGATTCCTGGAAATCCAGGATTTTCCCAGAATTTTTCAACCCTACTTGCAGGCCTGATGTGGCCTGTAAACCATGAGTTTCAGGCCACTGTATTAGGGAACTTACTTGGTGAAGGCCACAGGACTGAAAATGAACAAATTCAACAACCATGGGTCTCTGTCACTAACAAATACAGTCATGGGTGGCAATTCTACAATTCACGCAAAAAGGCAAGGCACACTAGGAAATTATATTGGAGGCATGGCTTAGTGGGGCCATTCCTCAAAATGTTCAAGCTGATACAACTCAACAACTCAACCCCTACAGGGTCACAGTGACTCCATCGGTTTGAGTAATGACTACAAAATCACTTTACGTAAGTGTACTTAGATATATTAACCCTCCCGTTGTCCTAGGGTCAAAATGACCCGCCACTGTGTTGAACCAACTTTATTTAATTTTTATATTTTTTGGATCATTTGTGAGAAGGAGGCAGTGATACTTTCTTTAAAGTCTCACTGCCTCCTTCTCACAAATGATCCCCAAAATATAAAAATTAAATAAAGTTGGTTCAACACAGTGGCGGGTCATTTTGACCCTAGGACAACGGGAGGGTTAAGTGCAACGGGTTTCCTCAAAATATTTGAGTAATGACAGCACATTGCTGTTTACAGTGTGGCCCTGTGACGCCCTGGGGCCTCAGGGAGATCAAAGGTAACATATTAACTCAGTCAAAACAACTAGATCAGTCCTTCTAACAGTCTGTGACCTGCCTCCCAACCAGCTGGAATGGCCTTATCAGATGACTGGTCAGCAGTGTTCAGCGGTTGGAACTCTGATTGTTAGGTGGTATTTTAAAAGGCAGCACTTCTGTCAGGTTTTTTCAAAGAGAGGTGGGGAGACAGAGTTAGAGGACTCACATTCTTCAACCATGCCCTTACAAAAGGCTAGGGCAGTAGGCTGACGCCACTGGGCACAGATGTCAACTCAATGTCTATTCCACGTTGGTTCAACGTTGATTCAACCAGTGTGTGCCCAGTGGGACGTTACTACAACATGATGGAAGGTAATATTTTATTGAATTTGTATAGTAGTTTGCTACTATTAAATACAGCAACATCTCAAGGTGGGACCTTTTGGTACTTAAAAAAAAGAAATCTCAAGAATATGGATTATGGAATTTACTGCTGGTAAACTCTAGTGAATACCTTAAATCCATAGTCTGTCAACATTTGTAAACAAGCAGGTTAGAGGAGTTCTGTGACCTACGTGTTTGGTGGTGTCTGACAGCTGTTGTTCGATCCTCTCCACCACCTTGCTGAAGGAGTGTCTCTTAAAGGGGTTCGAGTCCCAGCACGACTTCATTATCTCATACCTGAAACCACAACACACATATTTAGCACAGACGCAAGCATGGCACCAAGCACATACACCTGTTACCTCCCTTATCTCTCCCCCCTCTCTTACAAAATGACACTTAACATACTTTACATGCTTTTCTCTAAGTGTAGCCTTCTGAAAATGGAATGTATGTAGCTAACGTCTAATAACGCATTCAATAATAATGTAGCTTTTATGGTGAAGTTTATGGTGAAAGTAATAAAATCTGCAATCTGCTTAAATCCCACATATTCACACCCCTGCATAGTACACCCACACCCACACACTCCTACTCTCTTTCTCTTTCTCAAGATACTTAGACACACACACACGCACTCACACGCACACACACGCACTCACACGCGCACACACACACGCACACACACGCACGCACTCACACGCACGCACACACACACACGCACACACACACTCACATTTCACTCGGTGCATACTCTGGTGCATCCATTCTATATCCTTCCTTAATCATTTTGTAGAACTTTGAGTCCACAGGCATCCCAGGATATGGACTGCTTCCTGTAGGCCATGTAGAAAATAAGATAATAAAAATCAATGAAAACACAAACACGGACAGGCACTCGCAAACATGGACACACACACACACACACACACACAGAGAGGATAATGTGGACATATGTACCGAGTGAGAAGATTTCCCAGAGCAAGATGCCATAGGACCACACGTCACTCTCAAATGTGTACACACACTCAAAGATGCTCTCCGGAGACATCCACTTGACTGGGAGGCGAGCCTGCATGGAACACAAACCATCACAACCAGTCTAATACATCAGATGCACTTCATGTATTCAGAAAATGCATCAAAGCAAATCTCTTGACATCCTTGAAGTAATCCATCATCTCCATCACTTCAGCTGTCTACAGCTGTGAAGGGTGGAGAACCAGAGAGAGCAAATAATGATTGCAGATGCTGTTGATTAATCTTGAATAAAGGAATTCATAAACACACACTTGTCAGAGTGCACATTACAATGTCAGATCCATCAGATATACACTGAGTGTAAAAAAAAACATTAGGAACACCTTCCTAATATTGAGTTTTAAACTCAGAACAGTCTCAATTCGTCGGGGCATAGACTCTACAAGGTGTCGAAAGCGTTCCACAGGGATGCTGGCCCATATTGACTCCAATGCTTCCCACAGTTGTGTCAAGTTCGTTGGATGTCCTTTGAGTGGTGGACCATTCTTGATACACACAGGAAACTGTTGAGTCTGAAAAACCCAGCAGCATTGCAGTTCTTGACACTCAAACCGTTGCGCCTGGCACGTACCATACCCCTTTCAAAGGCACTTCAATATTTTGTCTTGCCCATTCACCCTCTGAATGGCACACATACACAATCGATGTCTCAATTGTCTCAAGGCTTTAAAATAATTATTTAACCGGTCTCCTCCCCTTCATCTACACCGATTGAGGTGTATTTAGCAAGTGACATCAATAAGGGATCATAGCTTTCACCTGGATTCACCTGGTCAGTCTATGTCATGGAAAGAGCATGTTTTGTACACTCAGTGTACATACATACTGTACTTCACATGCCATGGAATTGGACATCCAGTACTATCCCATCATGCCCCCAGGCTCATAGCTGACACTGGTTTTGAGAGACTTTATATAAATACTGTGCCTGTGCTTGACTATTCCATTGATGGTTTTCACTGCTAAATATCCATGGCTGTATCTATAACTCACATTGAGATCTCCAGTAGTGAGTGATGGGCCAGACTTACATTGCCTTTGACTACATAGTTGGAGTCTGTAGTGATGTCACGGGCCAGGCCGAAGTCACAGATCTTTGCCACTCGCCCCTGGGTCAGCAGAATGTTCCGGGCAGCCAGGTCTCTGTGGATGCACTGAACACACACACACAAATAATAAAACATAATGTAATGTAATAAGATAACATAAGGTAACATTAGATAACATAACACAGTTAAACACTACTAATAAATTGTGACAGTAAATTTCCTTCCCCTAATCTGTTTCACACACACTGATTGATACAGAGCTTGGCTGGAGTCTGGTGTCCGCTTGCCTTAAAGGCTTATACATCTTTCAGCAGCATGCTCAAACATGCATTCTGGACCTGTTGACCAGCTATGGCAATGTGACCCTGGCAGCGTTTGGCAATAAAGAAGATGGAACTAATGTGTGTGTGTGCAGCTTAGTGTGTGTCTAAATGTAATCTGATACATAGAACAAACAATACCAGTGGAAAGAGTGCTTTTCTTGGTCTACATGAATGTACAGTACTTACAGAATGAAAATATTTAGAGAATGGTTGGAAATTTACATGATCTACCATCATGGATTTAACTATCTGGATTTAATTGCAGAGTGAAAATAGACCTGTTGTTTTGAATAGCTAGTGGTGAGGGCTTTCAGGAGCTATATTAGGAGAGGAGAGCTTCTGTGAGGAAATTAAGGGCTTACATTTTTGGAAGCCAGGAAGTCCATGCCTTTGGCCACTTGATAGGAGAAGCTGAGCAGATCCTCAGTGTCCAGAGAGAGACTGTCCTCATGGAGCATCTCACTCACAACATCAGGCTCACTACTGGAACCACCTGAGAGAAACATAGCAATAGAGCAAGATAATTAGAGAGATGCATAGAGGGAGCAACATTGTCTATTAAGGAAGCTTAACTATGTATAGAGGGAGATATTGCAGGTTGTATAAATTAGCTCTCTAAAATGATATACAGTACCAGTCATAAGTTTGGACACACCTACTCATTCAAGGGTTTTTCTTTTACTATTTTCTACATTGTAGAATACCAGCATCATGAGGAATGCTTTGTCAACAGTCAACAGTCTTGAAGGAGTTCCCACATTTGCTGAGCACTTGTTGGCTGCTTTTCCTTCACTCTGTGGTCCAACTGTCAAGGCGTCAGTGTAATGCGGTAGGCGAAGTCAGGCGCAGGACACAGAGCTAATCAAAAGGCGTACTTTACTCGTAGGTAAAAGAATGAACAACAACCTCCACGCAGGGAGGGAACAAACCTGCACACTAACGACAACCAAAACATGAACAAACACGCACAACACACAGTGTGAGACAGAGGGTTAAATAGGGAAGACATAACTACATGATGGGAAACAGGTGTGACCAATTAAGACAAAACAAGTCGAACAAAGATACATGGATCGGTAGCAGCTAGTACTCCGGTGACGATGAACGCCGAAGCCTGCCCGAGCAAGGAGGAGGGGCAGCCTCGGCTGAATCCGTGACAGTACCCCCCCCCCCCCCCCCCCCCCTTGACGCGCGGCTTCTGGGACGCCCAGGAGGACGCGGAGCAGGGCAAGTCGGATGACTCTGGTGGAAATCCCGCAACATGGAGGGAACGAGGATGTCCCTCCTAGGGACCCAGCACCGTTCCTCCGGACCGTACCCCTCCCACTTCATGAGATACTGCAGGCCCCCCACCCAACGCCTCGAATCCAAGATGGAACGGACCGAGTACGCCGGAGCCCCCTCGATGTACAGTGGGGGCGGAGGAACCTCCCGTACCTCAGACTCCTGGAGTGGACCAGCTACTACTATAGACATATTTTATGTATCATTAAGGCAAATGTAGGGAGATGCCAAAGGTAAAATATAATAAACATGTTTGATATTTTATAATCCAGATGCATGCTTAAATAAGGAATATAGCCAATGCAGTATGTAACTGTGCTTTAAATGAATGTACAGTATGTATATTCTTTTTTAACAAAGGGCCTGAGCCTCGCAACTAATAGAATGAGAGGCTTCATATAGAAAAAGCATTCATTACCTTTTGGAGTGGACCATGTGTGACAGCTGGACGTTGAAAGAGAAGGGTGGCGCATAACTAAAATAGGTTAGGAATTTGTCATAAGGGGAGTAACTGTGTATGCCATGTAAGCATGTTTGTGCATTTGTGTGTGTATAAAAGGGATCTCTAAGCCAAAGAGAGACAGTTGTTCGATGGAACTGCTCGGCTTTTGTTATTAGATAATAAAGTCTAATTTTTGGATTCACAAGCTCCAGTTTCTTGAGAGATATTTTTGAGTTGACTACTTTTGAGTCAAATATTTCTACCACACTACCGGCCTGAGGAGAGACACATGGAACGAGGGGTTAATACGGTAATTAATAGGAAGCTGTAACCTATAACAAACCTTGTTCAATCTCCTCAGGACTTTAAATGGCCCCACAAACCGCCGACCCAGCTTCCGGCAGGGCAGGCGAAGGGGCAGGTTTCGGGTCGAGAGCCAGACCCAGTCCCCCGGTGCATACACCGGGGCCTCACTGCGGTGTCGATCGGCGCTCGCCTTTTGTCGCCTGATTGCCCACTGCAGGTGTACATGAGCAGCGTTCCAGGTCTCTTCTGAGTGCCGAAACCACTCATCCACCGCAGGAGCCTCGATCTGGCTCTGATGCCAAGGTGCCAGGACCGGCTGATAACCTAACACACACTGGAAAGCCGTAAGGTTAGTAGAGGAGTGGCGGAGTGAGCTTTGGGCCATCTCTGCCCAGGGGATATAACCCGACCACTCCCCCTGCTGGTCCTGGCAATAGGACCTCAGAAACCTACCCACATCCTGGTTAACTCTTTCCACCTGCCCATTACTCTCGGGGTGAAAACCTGAGGTAAGGCTAATCGAGAACCCCAGACGTTCCATGAACGCCCTCCAGACCCTTGAGGTGAACTGGGGACCCCGATCCGACACAATATCCTCAGGTACCCCGTAGTGCCGGAAGACGTGTGTAAACAGGGCCTCAGCAGTTTGTAGGGCTGTAGGGAGACCTGGCATAGGAATGAGACGGTAGGACATGGAAAACCGATCCACAACGACCAGGATCGTGGTGTTCCCTTGTGAGGGGGGAAGGTCCGTCACAAAATCCACTGATAGGTGGGACCACGGCCGTTGTGGAACGGGTAGGGGTTGTAATTTCTCTCTGGGCAGGTGTCTAGGTGCCTTACACTGGGCGCACACCGAGCAGGAGGAAACATAAACTCTCACGTCCTTGGCTAAAGTGGGCCACCAGTACTTCCCACTAAGACAGTGCACTGTCTGAACGATGCCAGGATGACCGTTCTGGGAACCTGGTCTGTAAGTGAGAGTAAACACAAAACGTGTGAAGAACATGGCCCACCTTGCCTGACGAGGGTTCAGCCTCCTCGATGTACTCCAGATTACGATGGTCAGTCAAAATAAGAAAAGGGTGTTTAGCCCCCTCAAGCCAATGCCTCCACACCTTCAGAGCTCCCGGTCCCCCACATCATAGTTGCGCTCCGCCGGACTGAGCTTCTTAGAAAAGAAAGAACAGGGGCGGAGTTTTGGTGGCGTACCCGAGCGCTGAGACAGTACAGCTACAATCCCAGCCTCGGACGCGTCCACCTCAACCTGGAATGCCAAGGAAGGATCCGGATGAGCCAGCACCGGAGCCAAAGTAAACAGGTCCTTCAGATGCCCAAAAGCCCTGTCCACCTCAGCTGACCATTGTAGATGCACCGGTCCTCCCTTTAGCAAGGAGGTAATGGGAGCCGCTACCTGACCAAAGCCCTGAATAAACCTCCGGTAGTAATTGGCAAAACCCAAGAATCGCTGCACCTCCTTCACCGTGGTTGGAGTCGGCCAATTACGCACAGCCGAAATGCGGTCAATCTCCATCTCCACACCTGACGCGGACAGGCGGTGTCCTAGGAAGGAGATGGATTCTTGGAAGAACAGACATTTCTCCGCCTTCACATACAGGTCATGCTCCAACAGTCGACCAAGCACCTGACACACCAGGGACATATGCTCGGCCTGTGTAGCGGAGTATATGAGAATGTCATCAATATACACCACTACACCCTGTCCATGCAGGTCCCTGAAAATCTCATCAACAAAAGATTGGAAGACTGAAGGAGCATTAATCAAACCGTATGGCATGACGAGGTACTCATAGTGCCCCGAGGTGGTACTAAATACCGTCGTCCACTCATCTCCCTCCCGGATACGCACCAGGTTGTACGCGCTCCTGAGATCCAATTTCGTGAAGAAGCGTGCCCCGTGCAATGACTCCGTCATGCTCGCAATCAGAGGTAATGGATAGCTGTATTTTACAGTGATCTGATTTAGACCACGGTAGTCAATGTACGGGCGTAAGCCACCATCCTTCTTCTTCACAAAAAAGAAACTCGATGACACAGGGGAAGTGGACGGCCAAATGTATCCTTGTCTCAGAGATTCGGTGACATATGTTTCCATAGGCGCCGTCTCTTCCTGTGACAGAGGATACGCGTGACTTCGTGGAAGCGCAGCGCCTACCTGGAGGTTTATCGCACAATCCCCCTGTTGATGGGGTGGTAATTGAGTCGCCTTCTTTTTACAGAAGGCGAGAGCCAAATCGGCATATTCAGGCGGAATGTGTATGGTGGGAACCTGGTTTGGACTTTCCACCGTAGTTGCCCCTACGGAAACACCTACACACCTCCCCAAGCACTGGCTTGACCATCCCTTGAGAACCCTCTGTTGCCATGAAATAGTGGGGTCATGAGAAGTTAACCAGGGAAGCCCCAACACCACTGGAAATGCAGGAGAATCAATCAGATATAGACTAATTATTTCCTCATGCCCCTCCTGCGTCTTCATCCATAGTGGCGCTGTGACCTCCCTAATCAGACCCGACCCTAAATGGTGACTATCTAGGGCATGTATAGGGAAGAGCACATCAACTGACACAATAGGAATCCCTAACCTACGGGTAAACTGACGATCAATAAAGTTCCCAGCTGCGCCTGAATCTACTAGCGCCTTATGCTGGGAATGAGAAGAAAACTCGGGAAATACAACATTTATACACATATGCGCAACAGGGAGCTCTGGGTGAGTTGGGTGCCTACTCACCTGAAACGGTTCACCAGTGCGCTGCCTACTGCCTCGACTCCTTGAAGGCCCTCCTCAGCACCGACCAGCAGTGTGTCCTCTGCGGTCACAGTTGGTGCAGGGGACGGCCCCTCTACCGGTCTCCCTCATAGCAGCACCTCCGAGCTCCATAAGGGTAGGGTCGGAGGTGCTGGGGGATGGAATGGACGGCCCCTGATCTGGACGTCCACGGGTGGCCAATAGGTTATCCAGTCAGATTGACATATCCACCAGTTGGTCCAGGTTTAGGTTGGTGTCCCTGCAGGCCAATTCCCGACGAACGTCCTCCCTTAATCTGCAACGGTAGTGGTCGATGAGGGCCCTCTCATTCTATCCTGCGCTGGCAGCCAGAGTCCGAAAGTCCAGCGCAAAATCCTGCGCGCTCCTCTTCCCCTGTCTGAGGTGGAATAGACGCTCACCCGCCACTCTCCCCTCTGGTGGATGATCGAATAGCGCCCTAAAGCGGCAGGTAAATTCCGCATAGCTTACAGTTGCGGCGTCTATTCCCCCTCACTCGGCGTTGGCCCACTCCAGCGCTTTACCGGACAGACAGGAGATGAGGGCGGACACGCTCTCGTATCCCGAGGGAGCCGGGTGGATGGTTGCCAGGTAGAGCTCTACCTGGAGCAGAAAACCCTGACACCCGGCAGCTGTACCGTCATAAGCCCTCGGGGGCGAGAGCCGAATCCCACTGGACCCAGATGGTGAAGAGATGGACATCGGTGTAGGTGGTGGTGTAATGGAAGGAGGTATAGGGATACCTCCACTCTCCCATCGCTCCATAGTATTAACTACTTGTTCCATAGCGGTGCCGAGAGCCTGGATCATGGCCGCTTGTTGTTGGACGCGTTCCTCCATCGATCCGGCTGGCATTGCTGTACCTGCTGACTCCATGTTATGGTGCGTGTTTCTGTCAAGGCGTCAGTGTAATGCGGTAGGCGAAGTCAGGCGCAGGACACAGAGCTAATCAAAAGGCGTACTTTACTCGTAGGTAAAATAATGAACAACAACCTCCACGCAGGGAGGGAACAAACCTGCACACTAACGACAACCAAAACATGAACAAACACTCACAACACACAGTGTGAGACAGAGGGTTAAATAGGGAAGACATAACTACATGATGGGAAACAGGTGTGACCAATTAAGACAAAACAAGTCGAACAAAGATGCATGGATTGGTAGCAGCTAGTACTCCGGTGACGACAAACGCCGAAGCCTGCCCGAGCAAGGAGGAGGGGCAGCCTCGGCTGAATCCGTGACACCAACTCATCTCGATTTGGTTGAGGTCGGGGGATTGTGGAGGCCAGGTCATCTGATGCAGCACTCCATCACTCTCCTTATTGGTCAAATAGCCCTTACACAGCCTGGAAGTTTGTTTTGGGTCATTGTCCTTTTGAAAAACAAATGATAGTCCCACTAAGCGCAAACCAGATGGGGTGGCGTATCGCTGCATAATGCTGTGGTAGACATGCTGGTTAAGTGTGCTTTGAATTCTAAATAAATCACAGACAGTGTCACCAGCAAAGCACCCCCACACCATCACAACTCCTCCTCCATGCTTCACAGTGGGAACCACACATGCGGAGGTCATCCGTTCACCTACTCTGCGTCTCACAAAGACACGGTGGTTGGAACCAAAAATCTCAAATTTGGACTCATCAGACCAAATGACAGATTTCCACGGGTCTAAGGTCCATTGCTCATGTTTCTTAGCCCAAGCAAGTCATTTCTTATTATTGGTGTCCTTTAGTAGTGGTTTCTTTGCAGCAATTCGACTATGAAGGTCTGATTCTCGCAGTCTCCTCTGAACAGTTGATGTTGAGATGTGTCTGTTACTTGAACTCTGTGAAGCATTTATTTGGGCTGCAATTTCTGAGGCTGATAACTCTAATGAACTTATCCTCTGCAGCAGAGGTAACTCTGGGTCTTCCTTTCCTGTGGCGGTCCTCATGAGAGCCAGTTTCATCATTGTGCTTGATGGTTTTTGCAACTGCACTTGAAGAAACTTTAAAAGTTCTTGAAATGTTCCGTATTGACTGACCTTCATGTTTTAAAGTAACCAATATACACAAGCAGTCAGGAAAGCAAAGGCTAACTTTTTCAAACAGAAATTTGCATCCTGTAGCAATAACTCCAAAAAGTTTTGGGACACTGTAAAGTCCATGGAGAATAAGAGCACTTCCTCCCAGCTGCCCACTGCACTGAGGCTAGGAAACACTATCACCACCGATAAATCTACAATAATCGAGAATTTCAACAAGCATTTTGCTACAGCTGGCCATGCTTTCCATCTGGCTACCACTACCCCGGCCACCAACTCTGCACCCTCTGCTGCAACTTGCCCATGCCCCCCCCGCTTCTCCTTCACACAAATTCAGACAGCTGATGTTTTGAAAGCGCTGCAAAATCTGGACCCTTACAAATCAGCTGGGCTAGACAATCTGGACCCTTTCTTTCTAAAACTAGCCGCCGAAATTGTCGCAACCCCTATTACTAGTCTGTTCAACCTCTCTTTCATAACGTCTGAGATCCCCAGAGATCGGAAAGCTGCCGCGGTCATCCCCCTCTTCAAAGGGGGTGACACTCTAGATCCAAACTGCTACAGACCTATATCCATCCTGCCCTGCCTTTCGAAAGTATTTGAAAGCCAAGTTAACAAACAGATCACCGACCATTTCGAATACCACCGTACCTTCTCCGCTATGCAATCCGGTTTCCGAGCTGGTCATGGGTGCACTTCAGCCACGCTCAAGGTCCTAAACGATATTATAACCGCGATTGATAATAGACAGTACTGTGCAGCCGTCTTCATCGACCTGGCCAAGGCTTTCGACTCTGTCAACCACCGCATTCTTATTGGCAGACTAAATAGCCTTGGTTTCTCAAATGACTGCCTCGCCTGGTTCACCAACTACTTCTCAGATAGAGTTCAATGTGTCAAATCCTGTTGTCTGGACCTATGGCAGTCTCTATGGGGGTGCCACAGGGTTCAATTCTTGGGCCGACACTTTTCTCCGTGTATATCAATGATGTCGCTCTTGCTGCTGGTGACTCTCAGATCCACCTCTACGCAGACGACACCATTTTGTATACATCTGGCCCTTCATTGGACACTGTGTTAACAAACCTCCAAACGAGCTTCAATGCCATACAACACTCCTTCAGTAGCCTCCAACTGCTCTTAAACACTAGTAAAACTAAATGCATGCTTTTCAATCGAACGCTGCTGGCACCCGCCCACCCGACTAGAATCACCACTCTCGACGGGTCTGACCTAGAGTATGTGGACAACTACAAATACCTAGGTGTCTGGTTAGACTGTAAACTCAACTTCCAGACTCACATAAAGAATCTCCAATCCAAAGTTAAATCTAGAATCGGCTTCCTATTTCGCAACAAAGCCTCCTTCACTCATGCTGCCAAACATGCCCTCGTAAAACTGACTATCCTACCGATCCTTGACTTCGGCGATGTCATTTACAAAATAGCCTCCAACACTCTACTCAGCAAATTGGATGTAGTCTATCACAGTGCCATCCGTTTTGTCTCCAAAGCCCCATACACTACCCACCACTGTGACCTGTACGCTCTTGTTGGCTGGTCCTCACTACATGTTCGTCATCAAACCCACTGGCTCCAGGCAATCTATAAATCACTGCTAGGCAAATCCCCGCCTTATCTTAGCTCATTGGTCACCATAGCAGCACCCACCCGTAGTCTGCGCTCCAGCAGGTATATCTCACTGGTCATTCCCAAAGCCAACACCTCCTTTGGCCGCCATTCCTTCCAGTTCTCTGCTGCCAATGACTGGAACGAATTGCAAAATTCTCTGAAGCTGGAGACTCTTATCTCCCTCAATAACTTTAAGCATCAGTTGTCAGAGCACCTTACCGATCACTGCACCTGTACACAGCCCATCTGAAATTAGCCCACCCAACTACCTCATCCCTATATTGTTATTTATTTTGCTCTTTTGCACCCCAGTATCTCTATTTGCACATCATCTCTTGCACATCTAGCATTCCAGTGTTAATACTATTGTAATTATTTTGCACTATAGCCTATTTATTGCCTTACCTCCATCACACACTGTATATATATTTTCTGTTGTATTTTTGACTTTATGTTTTTTACCCCATATGTAACTCTGTGTTGTTTTTATTGCACTGCTTTGCTTTATCTTGGCCAGGTCGCAGTTGTAAATGAGAACCTGTTCTCAACTGGCTTACCTGGTTAAATAAAGGTGAAAAATAAATAAAAATAAAAAATAAATAAATGATGGACTGTCGTTTCTCTTTGCTTATTTGAGCTGTTCTTGCCATAATATGGACTTGATCTTTCACTAAATAGGGCTATCTTCTGTATACCACCCCTACCTTGTCACAACACAACTGATTGGCTCAAACGCATCAAGAAGGAAAGAAATTCCACAAATTAACTTTTAAAAAGTGCATTCCAGGTGACTACCTCATGAAGCTGGCTGAGAAAATGCCAAGAGTGTACAAAGCTGTCATCAAGGCAAAGGGTGGCTACTTTGAAGAATCTCAAATATAAAATATATTTTGATTTGTTTAACACTTCTTTGGTTACTACATAATTCCATTATTTTACAATGTAGAAAATTGTACAAATAAAGAAAAACCCTTGAATGAGTAGGTGTGTCCAAACTTTTGACTGGTACTGTATGTGATAATTATCAATGAATATAAAAGTGGATGTCTTGCCTGCTTTGCGTATCGAGCGTCTCTTCTCTGAGAAGAAGCCATTGGGCAGGACACCAGCGACAGAAGGCCTCATATCCATGTAGCCATTCCTGCTGTCTCTGCGAGGAGGAAATAAGCAGTCTGGTCTCAGTTCAGTTGCCATCAAATACTACACATAACTACTACACACTAGGTAAGAAATACTCCCTTATATAAACATTTATGAATCTCCAGAGACATTTACATTTACTGTAAGTATGTTTTCTCAATAACAACAAAGAGTAGTCAGTTTAAAGTGTAGACTTGTCCTGCCTTATAGACCATGAAAGTACTGTATGCTTAGTTAAATTGGGGAATTTTCCAGTGGGTGGGAGAACAACGGCAGTGGTATTTACTTTTGTGAGCAGGTGAGATGACACAAGCAACAGTACATATATACAGTACAAAGTGTGCAGTGAGAATTACAGTATATACCACCCACACCCAACTACCACCCTCTCCTTGTAAACCTAATGAGTCCACACTGACCCATCTGACCCAGCTGTAGCTGTCTCCCTCTGCAACATTACATTCCTGTAGTAGCAGTCCTCCCCTAGCTTGGCGCAAAAGAACGTCTCCCTCTTCCTCCTCAGAAAGTTGAGGAGGTCACCGAAGCAGCAATACTCTGTGATCACCAGGGTTGGGCCTAAAGACATGGAGACAAATAGCCATGGTCAGTCACATGAAAGTCCTCCACGTAGAAACAACACACTAAAGACAAACAAAGACAAACAAAACACCATGAAATATAGACACCCCAAAATGAGTACAGCAAGTTTCAGGAGCACCACTCCTACAAGTACAGCAAGTTTCAGCAGCACCACTCCTACAAGTACAGCAAGTTTCAGGAGCACCACTCACTCCTACAAGTACGGCAAGTTTCAGAAGCACCACTCCCACAAGTACAGCAAGTTTCAGCAGCACCACTCCTATATCATAAAACATTTATACACTGAATAGTAAACAATTATAATGCCCAACAAGCAATGTTCCCTCAATTTTTGGGAGGCACTGATCAAATTTCTGGTCTACTGAGTGCAAACTTTAACGTTGTGAAAATTCTGTGCAACTTCCAAGGCGCGTTTACTCTGAACACTGAGGTTGTACCTGCTTTAAGTTACAGTTTTAACAGTGGCCAAGTAGGCTACTGTGGCTATTTGATCATAATGTAGGCCTACCAGAGTGGCCTACCATTAAAAACAATGGAGAAAATGCATCCCATATTATTTTAATATGTAAATAGCTGTTCTATCACTCAGCCTTCAGTAGTAGCCAATATAATATAATATGCCATTTAGCAGATGCTTTTATCCAAAGCGACTTACAGTCATGTGTGCATACATTTTTACGTATGGGTGGTCCCGGGGATCGAACCCACTACCCTGGCGTTACAAGCGCCATGCTCTACCAATTGAGCTACAGAGGACCACGATGTGTGGTGTTCAATGTGGGCCTACATTCCATGAGACTTTAAAAAAACAAAACATGCAATGATTGAAATTAACCTGTTTATCCACTAGTCCTTCAGACAAGGTGGTGACTGGAAATGTTGTTGTGTTGTTTGATGCAAGAAACCACTTTACAAAATAAAATGTATTATTATTCCCATACCATTATTAAAGAGAATCAGACAAATTATGCTACCCTCTGCCTATTGGCTACTTAGCTTATTCAAGCCTGTCTAAAAATACAACACTACCCCTTTAAGACAAAACAAAAAGCTCTCCAAAGATGTCTAGAAATGTACATGTTTTGTGCTCTGCACCTGTACGCAGCTTAGACGGATCATTGCCAACAAGCCATATAATCATTGGTGATAAAAGGGAGGACTGTTCAGATTATTACTGTATCTCAAAAACCTCTGCCAAACTTAGTTTCCAGTTACCCACTCCCTTCAGATTGATAGTAGCATAGATTAGAATGAGAATAAACACTACAGTCCTCCAGACATACTGCCCCTTACCTCCAACAGTACAGGCTCCCAGCAGGTTGACAATGTTCATGTGGTTTCCCAGGTAACTGAGAACTTTCAGCTCTGACATCAGAGCCTCCTTCTCTGTGGCATGGGCACTGGCTGTGGAAACAACACCAGAACATGATCATTTAAAAGTGCTTTAAAGTCATCATCAAAGAAAACATCATAGGAAATATAGCCTCTGGCTAGTTTGACATGCTACAGTAGCTCAAACACCTCTGGCCGCTGTTGGTGTAACAATCATACATACACTACATGACCAAAAGTATGTGGACACCTGCTTGTCTAACATCTAATTCCAAAATCATGGGCATTAATACGGAGTTGGTCCCCCCTTTGCTGCTATAACAGCCTCCACTCTTCTGGGAAGGCTTTCCACTAGATGTTAGAACATTGCTGCGGGGACTTGCTTCCATTAAGCCACAAGAGCATTAGTGAGGTCGGGCACTGATGTTGGGCGATTAGGCCTGGCTCTCAGTCGATGTTCTAATTCATTCCAAAGGTGTTTGATGGGGTTGAGGTCAGGACTTTGTGCAGGCCAGTCAAGTTCTTCCACACCGATCTCAACAAACCATTTCTGTATGGACCTCGCTTTGTGCACGGGGGCATTGTCATGCTGAAACAGGAAAGGGCCTTCCCCAAACTGTTGCAACAAAGTTGGAAGCACATAATCGTCTAGAATGTCATTGTATGCTGTAGCACTACGTTTCCCTTCACTGGAACTAAGGGGCCTAGCCCGAACCATGAAAAACAGCCCCAGACTATTATTCCTCTTCCACCAAACTTTACAGTTGGCACTATACATTCGGCAGGTAGCGTTCTCCTGGCATTCTCTAAACCCAGATTCGTCTGTTGGACTGCCAGATGGTGAAGCATGATTCATCACTCCAGAGAACGCCTTTCCACTGCTCCAGAGTCCAATGGTGGCGAGTTTTACACCACTCCAGACGACGCTTGGCATTGTGCATGGTGATCTTAGGCTTGTGTGCGGCTGCTTGGCCATGGAAAACCATTTCACGAAGCTCCCGAGGAACAGTTATTGTGCTGACGTTGTTTCCAGAGGCAGTTTGGAACTCGGTAGTGAGTGTTGCAACCGAGGACAGACGATTTTTAGTGCTACGTGCTTCAGCTCTCGGCGGTCCCGTTCTGTGAGCTTGTGTGGCCTACTACTTCGCGGCTGAGCCGTTGTTGCTCCAATACGTTTCCACTTCACAATAACAGCACTTACAGTTGACCGGGGCAGCTCTAGCAGGCAGAAATTTGACGAACTGACTTGTTGGAAAGGTGGCATGTTATGATGGTGCCACGTTGAAAGTCACTGAGCTCTTCAATAAGGCCATTCTACTGTCAATATTTGTCTATGGAGATTGCATGGCTGTGTGCTCAATTTTATACACCTGACAGAACCGTGTGTGGCTGAAATAGCCAAATCCATAGGGGTGTCCACATACTTTTGTATATACAGTGCATTCGGAAAGTATTTAGACCCCTTCACTTTTTCCACATTTTGCCATGTCTAAAATGGATTTAAAAAAAAAAATTCCCTCATCAATCTACACACAATACCCCATAATGACAACGCAAAAACAGGTTTTTCGAATTTTTTGCTAATTTATTAAAAATAAAAACTGAAATATAATATTTACATAAGTATTCACCCTTTACTCAGTACTTTGTTGAAGCACTTTTGGCAGCGATTATAGCCTTGAGTCGTCTTGGGTATGACACTAAAAGCTTGGCACACCTGTATTTGGGGAGTTACTCCCATTCGTCTCTGCAGATTCTCTCATGCTCTGTCAGGTTGGATGGGGAGCGTCGCTGCACAGCTATTTTCAGGTCTCTCCAGAGATGTTCGATCAGGTTCAAGTCTGGGCTCTGGCTGGGCCACTCAAGGACATTCAGAGACTTGTCCCAAAGCCACTCCTGCATTGTCTTGGCTGTGTGCTTATGGTCGTTGTCCTGTTGGAAGGTGAACCTTCGCCCCAGTCTGAGGTCCTGAGGGCTCTGGAGCAGGTTGTCATCAAGGATCTCTCTGTACTTTGCCCCGTTCATCTTTCCCTCGATCCTGACTAGTCTCCCCGTCCCTGCAGCTGAAAAACATCCCCACAGCATGATGCTGCCACCACCATGCTTCACTGTAAGATTTCATCCATACGTGATGCTTGGCATTCAGGCTAAAGAGTTCAATCTTGGTTTCATCAGACCAGAGAATCTTGTTCCTCATGGTCTGAGAGTCCTTTAGGTGCCTTTTGGCAAACTCCGAGCGGGCTGTCATGTGCCTTTTACTGAGGAGTGGCTTTCATCTGGCCACTACCATAAAGGCTTGATTGGTGGAGTGCTGCAGAGATGGTTGTCCTTCTGGAAGGTTCTCTCATCTCCACAGAGGAACTCTGGAGCTCTGTCAGAGTGACCATTTCTTATTGGTCACCTCCCTGACCGATGCCCTTCTCCCCCGATTGCTCAGTTTGGCCAAACTTCTTCAATTTAAGAATGATGGAGGCCACTGTGTTGTTGGGGATGTTCAATGCTGCAGAAATGTTTTGGTACCCTTCCCCAGGTCTGTGCCTCGACACAATCCTGTATTGGAGCTCTACAGACAATTCCTTCGACCTCATGGCTTGGTTTCTGCTCTGACATGCACTGTCAACTGTGGGACCTTATATAGACGGTAGTGTGCCTTTCCAAATCATGTCCAATCAATTGAAATTACCACAGATGGACTCCAATCAAGTTGTAGAAACATCTCAAGGATGATTAATGGAAACAGGATGCACCTGAGCTCAATTTTGAGTCTCATAGCAAAGGGTCTGAATACTTATGTAAATAAGGTATTTCTCTTTTTTCTTTTTAATAAACTTGCAAACATTTCTAAAAACCTGTTTTTGCATTGTCATTATGGGATATTGAGTGTAGACTGATGAGGAGAAAAAACAATTGAACCCATTTTATAATAAGGCTGTAACGTAACAAAATATGGAAAAAGTCAAGGGGTCTGAATACTTTCTGAATGCACTGTATAGTGTACATCACTGCATACACCCACACAAACATACAAACAAACATACACACACGGTCAGTAGCTAGTCAAATACATTTAGTCAAATATCCAGGTGTTTAGCACTCATAATTAGGGGCAGGGGTTCACTCTGACCGTGTGACCTGACCAGGTCTGATCAGTCAGATACTTTAAAATACACACATCTGTCACCAAAATATGTCTCTTTTTATTGCTATATCAAAAAAAAAATCATAGTTTGTGACCTCTTACGTTTGAGCATTTTGACCGCCACTGTCATCACTGTATCAGCTTTGGACATTCCATAAGCAGTAGCCTCCACTACCTTCCCGAAGGCTCCAGAGCCCAGAGTTTTCCCTGCATGGAAACACAGACAGACAGAACAATGTTACTCCATCCTGTTCCCCTCCCACATCCTGACTCTGCCACCTGTTACCAGGTTTATCCTGCAAGGGCGGGGCCAGCAGACACCAGGACATGCAGGATCCTGTTTGGGGTGGTTCGGAGAAGAAAAAAACACCTCCAAAATGTAAACAGAACGTTTGCTTAGAGGGAGGGGTTGGTGTTCTTTATAAAAGAAAACAGCTACATTAAATACATCATGCAGTTAGTGTAGGCTCAGGGCTAATGTAAAAGTGTAAAAGTGTAACCGGTGAGCAAATAGAGTGTAAATCCATCATTATGAGACAGGACCTTGGGATAAGGCATGATGTCACAACAAAGATACATTGGCTGGCTCCAAATACCAAAACAAAATAGACTTATTTCAACACCTGCTGCTATCGATTGATACACATATAAAATAGACCTAGATAATATTAAAAACAAACTGTACATCATACAGTTCTGGATTAGAGATGATACATATACTGTAAGAGATGTATTGGTGATTAACAGTGCTTTTCCTGAGTGTGATGAAAGCATAGGAACTCACCAAAACGCAGTTTGTCCCGGGGGAACTCCCACTGGTGGTCGTATGGGAGCTGGGTAGGGTCAATATACACATAGTTGTTTCCGTGGATACCTTCAATGACTTTCCACTGGATCTGGTATTTGGGTTTCTTTGAGGCCGGCAGAGAGTTATATTAGGATAAGTACAGGGGACACCATTAAACTCACATCAATCATGGTACTTCAGCACAGAGTTTATTGACCTCTGTGAGTTATTGCTGAGAAGTTTTTAAAGGTGAGCTAGTGTACCTTATCTTTGCCTATGACTTACTGTGTGTAATTTGCCAAGTTTACACACAGGTGTGTAACCCGTTGTAGAAGTGGCTGTGATGTATGAGAAGAGGTGAGTTTGGGTAGTTACCTGAGTAGAGGTAGTTACCTGAGTAGAGGTAGTGAGTTTGGGTAGTTACCTGCAGGTACTTGTAGAAGAGCACTATGAGGATGAGGGTGAGGAGGGTGGTTGCTGACACTATTCCAATCAGCAGAGGGGTGAAGAGCTCATGGGTAACTGTTCTCTCTGCAGGGACACACACCAGAGAGAGACATACATACATTATCAGTGTAACGTTAGAGATAGATATATAACAGATAGATAGATAACAGAGAGAGATATCAGTGAGGAGCACTGATAGACAGAGATCAGTTTTAATGTTTGGCAACATATTAGCCTTTTAGCATTGTAGAGTGCAGTATCATATATGCTACATTGTTGTCTTTCAGTGATCACACAAAAGTAATCATATTATTTGAATCGAATTGTGTTTTCTGTATTTTGTTAATTATTTTTTATACTATTTATTACCTATTTCCTTAATTCCCATTATAGTTGTGCAGCATGTAGTAATGCTGTGCAGCATGACGTGATACTGCTGCTGCTGTTGTTGTTGTTATGTATAATTTCTGTATAATGAGTCTTCTGTTCCTTTGTGTAGCGGTTTGTGGTGTGTTATTGTTTTGCTAGCTCTGTACACTGGAGTGTAATAAGCTCTTTAGCCATAAGAGGCTTTCTCTCCATTTCAAATCATCTGAGAATGCAGAGTATGCAGGAACTAATCGTCTGTAAACCTGTCAGTGGCTTTTAAAGCTTTCCCTCCATCCCTATTTTATTTCCCTACAGCTCGCTGGCTCCCTGGCGGGCTGCATCCAAAATTCCCACAACGTCTAAACACTCAGTGCGGCCAGGACTCCCACTGTGCGCCAGACTTCCCTGCACGTCTCCAAGCGTCTGTCCTACTCTGCCGAGAGGAGCGCTAAAGCCTGGGCACATGCTCCCACAGGTCTGTCCTGCCTGGCTACACACACTCCTCGTCCATAATGCCCACCAACATGCCCACTGTGTCCAGGCAGCTACCCCTCCTCCTCTACACCATACCAATCTCATCTTCATACCCACACCAAGACAACTCTCTTCTCACTCTTGCTTCAAGTGCCGTCATACTCCACTATCGCATCCCACAGTATATAAACAGGATGTTCTAGATAGCTGGATTTGTGGTCCAAAAGTACTCTATGCCCCTACCACTGATGACCATTTCTGCCAGTAAGTGATGACACATTATCACACACGTTTGTTGTATCTTGCTCTGCCTATGTTTACATAAGAGACTCCAGGCCTATATCAATGTTTAATCTTGAACCTCTATCAATGGGTAAGATCTATGTCAAAATCCAAGTCTTTCATAAACATTCAGATTAACCAAATTGAGAAATCCTTTGCGTTGAACTGAGGAGTTTGGGTGAGTGTTGATGGTGCGTATAACTTAAATGACCTTGATCCACAGAAAGAGAAACAGCTGTAACTCTGCATCTTTTTTTAAATTTTATTTAACCAGGTAGGCCAGTTGAGAACAAGTTCTCATTTACAACTGCGACCTGGCCAAGATAAAGCAAAGCAGTGCGATAAAAACAACAACAACAACACAGAGTTACACATGAGATGAACAAAAACATACTGTCAATAACACAATAGAAAATCTATATACAGTGTGTGCAAATGTAGTAAGTTATGGAGGTAAGGCAATAAATAGGCCATAGTGCAAAATAATTACAATTTAGTATTAACACTGGAGTGATAGATGTGCAGAAGATGATGTGCAAATATAGATACTGGGGTGCAAATGAGCAAAATAAATAACAATATGGGGATGAGGTAGTTGGGTGGGCTAATTACAGATGGGCTGTGTACAGGTGCAGTGATCGGTAAGCTGCTCTGACAACTGATGCTTAAAGTTAGTGAGGGAGATGAGTCTCCAGCTTCAGAGATTTTTGCAGTTCGTTCCAGTCATTAGCAGCAGAGAACTGGAAGGAGTGGCGGCCAAAGGAGGTGTTGGCTTTGGGGATGACCAGTGAGATATACCTGCTGGAGCGCATACTACGGGTGGGTGTTGCTATGGTGACCAATGAGCTAAGATAAGGCGGGGACTTGCCTAGCAGTGATTTATAGATGACCTGGAGCCAGTGGGTTTGGCGACGAATATGTAGTGAGGGCCAGCCAACGAGAGCGTACAGGTCACAATGGTGGGTAGCATATGGGGCTTTGGTGACAAAACGGATGGCACTGTGATATCTCAGGTTAGACATAATGGGAGAAGGAATGAGTTGTCTGACCTGAATGGCCTTGGTGACCCTGGGTTTATCTGTACCAATTACAGATGGGACGTAATGTAGTTCATGTAATGTAGTCTAGTTAGTACTGCATTAATGACATTCATTTGTGAATTTTTCATATTGAGTATTGTCTATAAAAGCGTTTTCTAATGAGAGACGCCTGAATGGGATTGCCAGATTGTAGAGGAACAACAACCAACCACAGACACCTTCCAGTCACTGTGTCCTCTTTAGGTTTGTTGACACTGTACTTAACTCTAATCCCAAAGTAGGGATATCCTAGGGATTAACACCAAACACATCCATTTAAAAACACACGGACAGACTAGCTGACGCCAAGACCACCTTAACACCCCCAAGCCCCCCAACAACTCCCAACTCTTGTGTATACTGCTTGTGTGTGTATGTGTGTGTGTATGTGTGGGTGTGCGAGAGAGAGAGAAATAGTCCATTGTTCACAATCACAAACACAGCTATCAGCTGATAAGGAAGGCATCAGTTTATTAATGTATATCTGGGCCAATATGAAAAAGACTGAATGCTAAATTCCAGGGAATGGGACCAGAGAGATACATTGTCTGAGCTGGTAGAGTCAGGAGAGTGAGATGTCTGTGTTTTTCTCATTGAGCCTACAAAGTGTTCTGCTTGAGGTGTGACAAGACAAGGCTATGCAAAACTCACCTCTTAAAAACAACACATTTTTGCAGGGTGTATGTGCGTGTGTTTCGAAAGTGTTTAGCCAGGAGTAATTGCTGACACACACACAGTCATGCCCACACGTACCAGGATGATGAGCTTCCACCCTATCACAGAGGTATAGACAACACCCTCCCAGTAACTGTGTGTGTGTGTGTGCGCGTGCGTGCATGAGTGCGTCACCACAACTCACCACTGATAGAGAACAGTGTGTAGTCCTGCTCTCCCTCCACGGTGGCCACACACTCCAGCGTGTGGAATCTTCCCGTGGTGATGTTCAGCCTGCTCTCCACCTCCGTCTTCCCAAAGGAAGGACTCAACAACGTCACCGTGACAATGTCCTGCTCCTCCTGAGTGGCGTTCATCTGGTGGGAGCACCTGAGGGGGACAATGGGACAAACTGTCTACCACTCTAGTGTGACTGCATTTGGATGTTGTTTTCAGTAGCTTTGAGTCCATTGTTTCATGTGGCTCTAAACACAGCAGTTATTGTAACATTAATGAATGTTCTGTTATTGTCACGATCGTTGGTTAGAGAGGACCAAGGCGCAGCGTGTTGAGCGAACATACTTTAATAGTAAAGTGCAAACACGAATACAAAACAATAAACGATACGTAACGTCCTCAGACAATGACTGACAAGGAACAAAAACCCACAAACACAAGGTGAAAACAGACATTATAAATATGGCTCCCAATCAGAGACAACGAGCCAAACAGCTGACACTCGTTACCTCTGATTGGGAGTCACTCATCCAAACAAAGAAATACAACCACATAGAACAACCCAACCAAACAGAACACAATGAAACGAACACACCCTGGCTCAACATACAAAGTCCCGGAGCCAGAGCGTGACAGTACCCCCCCCCTAAAGGCGCGGACTGCGACCGCGCCTCAATAAGGGCTAAACAAGGGAGGGCTGGGTGGGCATACCTCCTCGGCGGTGGTTCTGGCTCCGGCCCTGATCCCCACCTCCTCTCCAACCCCCCAAAGTACCCCTGGTCCTGTCTAGCCCCGCTGGTCGGAGCCGGACTGATGACACGCGCCCCTGGCTTGGTGCGTGGAACAGGAACGGGCCTCACCGGACTGACGACTCCATTCCCTGGTTTGGTGCGAGTAGCAGGAACGAGCTGGACCAGGCTGACGACTCGCATCCCTGGTTTGGTGCGAGTAGCAGGAACGGGCTGGACCAGGCTGACGCCTCGCACCCCTGGCTTGGTGCGAGTAGCAGGAACGGGTTGGACCAGGCTGGCGACTCGCACCCCTGGTTTGGTGCGAGTGGCAGGAACAGGCCGGGTCGGGCTGGCGACGCACACCGTAGGCTTTGTGCGTGGAGCAGGGACAGGCCGGGCTGGGCTGGCGACGCACACCGTAGGCTTTGTGCGTGGAGCAGGAACAGGCCGGGCTGGGCTGGCGACGCACACCGTAGGCTTTGTGCGTGGAGCAGGGACAGGCCGGGCTGGACTGGCGACGCACCTCGTAGGCTTGGTGCGTGGAGCAGGGACAGGCCGGGCTGGGCTGTCGACGCACACCACTGACTTGGTGGGAATGGCAGGAACCGGCCGGGCTGGGCTGACGACGTGCACCACTGACTTGGTGGGAATGGCAGGAACAGGCCGGGCTGGGCTGACGACGCGCACCACTGACTTGGTGGGAATGGCAGGAACAGGCCGGGCCGGGCTGTCGACGCACACCACAGACTTGGTGGGAATGGCAGGAACAGGCCGGGCTGGGCTGACGACGCGCACCACTGCCTTGGTGGGAATGGCAGGAACAGGCCGGACCGTACTGGGGACACACACCACTGGCCCCACGCAGGGATCAGGAACGGGCCGGACCGGACTGGTAACACACCCCAGTACCTCTCGCCGTGCCTCCACACTTTCCCTCTCCTCTGTGCCCAGTGGCCCCCCTAACCTGGCGGCCTTCTCTGCCAACGCTTTGCACCGCTCTAACCCGTACACCTGCTGCCCCGACGTCGTGAGCCCCCCCCTAAACATTTCCTGGGGGTCTCTCCTCCCCGTGGCCCAGGCCTCTCTCCCTCTTGCCAGACTCGCAATCATCTCCTCCCACGTCCATCCTCTCTCCTCGTCACGCTGCTTGATCTGGTTAAGGTGGGTTTTTCTGTCACGATCGTTGGTTAGAGAGGACCAAGGCGCAGCGTGTTGAGCGAACATACTTTAATAGTAAAGTGCAAACACGAATACAAAACAATAAACGATACGTAACGTCCTCAGACAATGACTGACAAGGAACAAAAACCCACAAACACAAGGTGAAAACAGACATTATAAATATGGCTCCCAATCAGAGACAACGAGCCAAACAGCTGACACTCGTTACCTCTGATTGGGAGTCACTCATCCAAACAAAGAAATACAACCACATAGAACAACCCAACCAAACAGAACACAACGAAACGAACACACCCTGGCTCAACATACAAAGTCCCGGAGCCAGAGCGTGACAGTTATGAGTATACAAACGGGAAACTAAGGGTTCACATTAGATCATGGACATCTAAAAGTTAGGAATTTTTGATTGGGATGCAGGTCATTTAGAGTCAACCATCCCCTCTTTCCCCTATTATGTTCACCATGAGTGCCCTTCAAAACAACAGCCAGGTACAGAGAGTCTTTGGACAGCACTGGGGCATGACGCATACGAGCATACATTGGTCTTAAATCAATGTTCCCAGAAAAAACATCACTGTCCCAGGCTAAATCAATTCATCCCCTACCATGCCAGTCTTCCAGACCAAACTAAAGGAACCCCTACAATCCTCCACATCACCATCAACTAAAACAACAATACCTTAGAGGTACACGAAGTCCACAGAGTGAAACATTTGTAATCCAATATCATCAAGTTACATTATGATGCCAGCTGTAATGTTGAAAGGGAAAAGGCTGGGGATTTGTCTGTTGTTTAAAGTAGAGCACAATGATTGGAAGAAGCAGAGACTGCCCCAAGCAAGGCTCCACATTCCACAGCACCATACCACAAACAGCAGCTGTTTTCTACATACTGACAGGCCACAGGCCCCGCCATGTCACACTTAAAGAGCTTCTCGAGTGTATGTGTGTGTTAATAGTCTAATAAAAAGCTGGAGCTAGAGAACATTATTTTGTGTGGAGGTGCTGACTAACGGCGAATAAACTGCAAGCTATAAAAAAAAGTATGAAGAGAGTCGCACACTCTATATACAAACTCGCAGTAATTTACTGGGTATAAATTACTGAGGGTTTATATATAGCGAGAGTGTGCGACTCTCTTTATTTATTTGTGTGTGCCAATAAAGTTGGATGTGTGGGCCAATACAGTCTGATTTTAGACATTGAAGCATTCCAAAGACATTCCATACCATCACCTAGTGCCTTAAGTATACAAACAAATCAAATAGACATGTCAAGGGTAACTGTAAGCATGTTTGTTTGAGTTGGACAGCTCTCTAAGTTGATTTGATCCTAATTGAAAGTGATTGGATAATGATTAGCCAATTGCCTCTGACTCGTTACCAGTGTTTCCTGGTAACGAGTCAGAGGCAAACCCTGATCACATGAGGGTAATCTCACTTCAGTCCACCAACAAATCACACATGTCCAATCCCACTTCTGCTTATACTCTGGGAAGGTCAAGACAATTAGACCATTTTGAATCCCTCTTACTAAGGTCTGAAAAGACGTCTTCACAAATTAAATCAAATTATATTGGTCGCATACACATATTTAGCAGATGTTATTGCGGGTGTAGCAAAATGCTTGTGTTCCTAGCTCCAACAGTGCAGTATTTTCTAACAATACACAACAATACACACAAATCTAAAAAGTCAACGAATGGAATTAAGATACAGTACCAGTCAAAAGTGTGGACACACCTACTCATTCAAGGGTTTTTCTTTATTTTTACTATTTTCTACATTGTAGAATAATAGTGAAGACATCAAAATGATGAAAAAACACATACAGTGAGGGGAAAAAAGTATTTGATCCCCTGCTGATTTTGTACGTTTGACCACTGACAAAGAAATGATCAGTCTATAATTTTAATGGTAGGTTTATTTGAACAGTGAGAGACAGAATAACAACAAAAAAATCCAGAAAAAACACATGTCAAAAATGTTATGAATTGATTTGCATTTTAATGAGGGAAATAAGTATTTGACCCCTGTGCAAAACATGACTCAGTATTTGGTGGCAAAACCCTTGTTGGCAATCACAGAGGTCAGATGTTTCTTGTAGTTGGCCACCAGGTTTGCACACATCTCAGGAGGGATTTTGTCCCACTCCTCTTTGCAGATCTTCTCCAAGTCATTAAGGTTTCGAGGCTGACTTTTGGCACCTCGAACCTTCAGCTCCCTCCACAGATTTTCTATGGGATTAAGGTCTGGAGACTGGCTAGGCCACTCCAGGACCTTAATGTGCTTCTTCTTGAGCCACTCCTTTGTTGTCTTGGCCGTGTGTTTTGGGTCATTGTAATGCTGGAATACCCATCCACGACCCATTTTCAATGCCCTGGCTGAGGGAAGGAGGTTCTCATCCAATATTTGACGGTACATGGCCCCGTCCATCGTCCCTTTGATGCGATGAAGTTGTCCTGTCCCCTTAGCAGAAAAACACCCCCAAAGCATAATGTTTCCACCTCCATGTGGGGATGGTGTTCTTGGGGTCATAGGCAGCATTCCTCCTCCTCCAAACACGGCGAGTTGAGTTGATGCCAAAGAGCTCAATTTTGGTCTTATCTGACCACAACACTTTCACCCAGTTCTCCTCTGAATCATTCAGATGTTCATTGGCAAACTTCAGACGGGCATGTATATGTGCTTTCTTGAGCAGGGGGACCTTGCGGGCGCTGCAGGATTTCAGTCCTTCACGGCATAGTGTGTTACCAATTGTTTTCTTGGAAACTATGGTCCCAGCTGCCTTGAGATCATTGACAAGACCCTCCCGTGTAGTTCTGGGCTGATTCCTCACCATTCTCATGATCATTGCAACTCCACGAGGTGAGATCTTTCATGGAGGACCAGGCCGAGGGAGATTGACAGTTCATTTGTGTTTCTTCCATTTGCGAATAATCGCACCAACTGTTGTCACCTTCTCACCAAGCTGCTTGGCGATGGTCTTGTAGCCCATTCCAGCCTTGTGTAGGTCTACAATCTTGTCCCTGAAATCCTTGGAGAGCTCTTTGGTCTTGGCCATGGTGGAGAGTTTGGAATCTGATTGATTGATTGCTTCTGTGGACAGGTGTCTTTTATACAGGTAACAAACTGAGATTAGGAGCACTCCCTTTAAGAGTGTGCTCCTAATCTCAGCTCGTTACCTTTATAAAAGACACCTGGGAGCCAGAAATCTTTCTGATTGAGAGTGGGTCAAATACTTATTTCCCTCATAAAAATGCAAATCAACTTATAACATTTTTGACGTGTTTTTCTGGATGTTTTTGTTGTTATTCTGTCTCTCACTGTTCAAATAAACCTACCATTAAAATTATAGACTGATCATTTCTTTGTCAGTGGGCAAATGTACAAAATCAGCAGGGGATCAAATACTTTTTTCCCCCACTGTATGGAATCATGTAGTAACCAAAAAAGTGTTGTGTTGTGACAAGGTAGGGGTGGTATATTATGGTAAGAACAGCTCAAATACAGTGGGGGAAAAAAGTATTTAGTCAGCCACCAATTGTGCAAGTTCTCCCACTTAAAAAGATGAGAGAGGCCTGTAATTTTCATCATAGGTACACGTCAACTATGACAGACAAATAGAGAGAGAAAAAATTCCAGAAAATCACATTGTAGGATTTTTTATGAATTTATTTGCAAATTATGGTGGAAAATAAGTATTTGGTCACCTACAAACAAGCAAGATTTCTGGCTCTCACAGACCTGTAACTTCTTCTTTAAGAGGCTCCTCTGTCCTCCACTCGTTACCTGTATTAATGGCACCTGTTTGAACTTGTTATCAGTATAAAAGACACCTGTCCACAACCTCAAACAGTCACACTCCAAACTCTACTATGGCCAAGACCAAAGAGCTGTCAAAGGACACCAGAAACAAAATTGTAGACCTGCACCAGGCTGGGGAGACTGAATCTGCAATAGGTAAGCAGCTTGGTTTGAAGAAATCAACTGTGGGAGCAATTATTAGGAAATGGAAGACATACAAGACCACTGATAATCTCCCTCGATCTGGGGCTCCACGCAAGATCTCACGCCGTGGGGTCAAAATGATCACAAGAACGGTGAGCAAAAATCCCAGAACCACACGGGGGGACCTAGTGAATGACCTGCAGAGAGCTGGGACCAAAGTAACAAAGCCTACCATCAGTAACACACTACGCCGCCAGGGACTCTAATCCTGCAGTGCGAGACGTGTCCCCCTGCTTAAGCCAGTACATGTCCAGGCCCGTCTGAAGTTTGCTAGAGTGCATTTGGATGATCCAGAAGAGGATTGGGAGAATGTCATATGGTCAGTTGAAACCAAAATATAACTTTTTGGTAAAAACTCAACTCGTCGTGTTTGGAGGACAAAGAATGCTGAGTTGCATCCAAAGACCACCATACCTACTGTGAAGCATGGGGGTGGAAACATCATGCTTTGGGTCTGTTTTTCTGCAAAGGGACCAGGACGACTGATCCGTGTAAAGGAAAGAATGAATGGGGCCATGTATCGTGAGATTTTGAGTGAAAACCTCCTTCCATCAGCAAGGGCAATGAAGATGAAACGTGGCTGGGTCTTTCAGCATGACAATGATCCCAAACACACCGCCTGGGCAACGAAGGAGTGGCTTCGTAAGAAGCATTTCAAGGTCCTGGAGTGGCCTAGCCAGTCTCCAGATCTCAACCCCATAGAAAATCTTTGGAGGGAGTTGAAAGTCTGTGTTGCCCAGCGACAGCCCCAAAACATCACTGCTCTAGAGGAGATCTGCATGGAGGAATAGGCCAAAATACCAGCAACAGTGTGTGAAAACCTTGTGAAGACTTACAGAAAACGTTTGACCTGTGTCATTGCCAACAAAGGGTATATAACAAAGTATAGAGAAACTTTTGTTATTGACCAAATACTTATTTTCCACCATAATTTGCAAATAAATTCATTAAAAATCCTACAATGTGATTTTCTGGATTTTTTTCCTCATTTTGTCTGTCATAGTTGACATGTACCTATGATGAAAATTACAGGCCTCTTTCATCTTTTTAAGTGAGAGAACTTGCACAATTGGTGGCTGACTAAATACTTTTTTCCCCCACTGTAAGCAAGAAACGACAGTCCATCAATACTTTAAGACATGAAGGTCTGTCAATCCGATCTCTGTGTGTGGTTCCCACCGTGAAGCATGGAGGAGGAGGTTTGATGGTGTGGGGTTGCTTTGCTGGTGACACTGTCTGTGATTTATTTAGAATTCAAGGCACACTAAAACAGCATGGCTATCACAACATTCTGCAGCAATACGCCATCCCATCTGGTTTGCGCTTAGTGGGACTATCATTTGTTTATCAACGGGACAATGACCCAACACACCTCCAGGCTGTGTAAGGGCTATTTGACCAAGAAGGAGAGTGATGGAGTGCTGCATCAGATGACCTGGCCTCCACAATCACCAGACCTCAACCCAATTGAGATGGTTTGGGATGAGTTGGACCGCAGAGTGAAGGAAAAGCAGCCAACAAGTGCTCAGCATATGTGGGAACCTTCAAGACTGTTGGAAAAGCATTCCAGGTGAAGCTGGTTGTGAAAATGCCATGAGTGTGGCTACTTTGAAGAATCTCAAATTCAAATATATTTTGATTTAACACTTTTTTGTTTACTACATAATTCCATATGTGTTATTTCATCGTTTTGATGTCATCACTATTATTCTATAATGTAGAAAATAGTAAAAATAAAGAAAAACCCTTGAATGAGTAGGTGTGTCCAAACTTTTGACTGGTACTGTATATAGAAATATTAGGAAGATCAAGGTCAGAGGAAGAAATAACGGGTTTCATTGCCAAAATCCTGAATTATCCCTTTTAGTCATTACAGTTCAATTTCTAAATTCCCTCGATCTATCAACACAGTCCAATCATAGCATGTCATTGCGAGTATGTGTGTGTGTTACCCCAGTGATCTCACCTCATATAAGGCTGTTCGCAGTAGTACCAGGTGATCTGTGGGGCGGGGTATCCCTCAGCTACACATCGCACCTGTCCATTTACTGGGCCATCATGAGATACAATCTCTGGTTTACCTGACAGGAGCAGAATGTTAGTGTTGATGCCAGGTGGGGATACTTAGCATGTAAATCAACTGTAATGCTCTGGGTTACTGTAGTTGGGGCGAAAGAGGTGTTGGGCTTTAATACATACGCTGAATGGTCTGTGAAAATCTAGTCATAAATGCCATATCATGTTAATTATTAATTACATCATATTGACAGTATGCAGAAGTCTCTGACTGCCCATTTCCCAACATAATGTATGCGTGGCTCCATGGCATCTTTAGAGAATATAATGCTACGACTTACTGATAACGTAGACCGAAAATGACTGATTGATTGTTGCATCATCATTGGAGGCATAAAAGGTGTAGACTCCACTCTCTGACATTTTCAAACGCACCAGCCTGAGCTCACTGTTGTACCTGGTGATTGAATCAACATTAACAACAAAAATTTAAAAAACAACTGGTGTTAATGCAGCTGATTTATTGAAGTAAACCACCTCATGATCAACACAATACCAGGCTTGGTTCAGAAACTGCCGCCTCATGATTCTTTACCACCTGAAAGCCAGTTATTTCTCCACAGTTCAACTGCACAGTACTCCAGCACACACAAAAAGCCCAGAGGCACTAATTAATTTTTACTGAATTTCTCAGGCAGCTCTGGAGTGTGGTAAAGTAGAGCCAGGGAAAGGCTGGGTGTTGCATAAAAGTGTAATCATCTCTCAATGACCCAGGGCCAGTTAGGAACCAAAGGTGTTACATTTCAGTGAGAGGGTGTAATGAACACATTCATCATGTGGTAGGCCCAGGGCAAGGAGAGTGTGTTTATGTTAGATTTGTGCGTGTGTGCGTGTGTGTGTGTCAGGTTTTCCATTAGCCGGTAATTGCCGGATTTTGGCTGATAAAATAAATTAACAGCTGATTATTTATTTGTTATTCCGGCCAAATTCTCTGGGGTAGCCCTGTGGCTGAGGAGAGAGAGAAAGCGAGAGGAGCCTTGGTCTAGGCTACTGTTGATTGCGAAGATGGAGGCCTTTTTCATTGAAGTAAAACAAAAGTTAGAGAGTACGCCTTTAGTGAAAAGCCTACAAGGCAGGGCTCCAGACTGCGATCATTTAGTTGCATTTTGCGACCCTTTGACTTGGCTGTGCAAGTAAAAAAATTTATCGCAGTCTGGAGCATCTGTGCGGGCTGCACATTCATTTACCTCACTAAAAACATCCTATTTTTTAGGAGGCTAAAAACATGATTTGTTCAAACAGTAAAGTTCATTATCCTCATGATTCCTGTAATGAAAGTGTCTGCCTGCCTGCCCCTGTACCTGTTTCGCTGGGATCTGTTTCTGTGTTCAGCGAGCCACTCTCTCTCTCTCTCTCTCTCCTTTCCCGGGGAAAAAAAAAGCTCAGGGAGAAAGAAAAGTGTTCTGATTGTATAACATTTGAATATACAATTGCTGGGCAAACACAGCTATCCTGTTCTCACAGATGGAGAGAATATGTTCTCAGCTTTCTGTAGGTATACTTTTTATTTTTATCTCAATGCGCATTGGCCATTGGGAGTGCATAGGCCTCATTGGACAATAGGCTACAACAAGTTTTTTTGGACATTGTCACGGTTTCGGCTCGGGCAGGCTTCGGCGGTCGTCGTCTCCGGAGTACTAGCTGCCACCGTTGTATGTTTCGATGTTCGTTTGGTTTTGTCTTGATGTTGTACACCTGTTATCGTTTAGCGTTCATTATTGTCCTATAAGTTCTCGTTGTGTTTGTCATGTGTTGTGTGTGATTGAACTTGCTGTCGTGTATGTCTGTGCTTCGTTCTCTCCTCTGTGTTGGAGAAGTTCTCGCACGTGTTTGTGCGTTATTGTTATTTTGTTAGATTTTACGCCTGTGTGCGTAATCGCTCGTATCCAAGCTCTTTTGACTCGTTTTGAGTTTTGGTTCACTAAAGTCTATTGGACTAAGTTCCTGCGTCCTGCGCTTGATTCCTGCACCACACCTTCACAGCACACCTTCTGACAGACATTAAATGTACTGTTAAATTAATACATGGCTACTATGAGTGGGTATTATCTTTAGAGTTAGTGATCTAGCTAATGTGTTTTGAGTGTTTCCACTTCCTCAGGTGGTGAATTAGCCCCAAATAAATTAGCCTATGATATTAGAGCACATAAAGATGCAAAAGAAATTGAAAATTCTGGAGCTCTATTTTAAAAGTAAGATATAACAACAATTGCATCATTGTCTACCTACAATGCATGACAATCACTGGATTAGTAGTCTATTACACTGTGAATTACTTTATAATCATGGGCTGGTGCCACCAGGGGAACATTTTAATCTGGAGCCCTGCTCAAATGGGAATGTCCTCCGTATGGAAATGTTTTAATATTGTAGTAAACAAAGATGAGAAGAATGTTGTCGCGGCCAAATGTAGGCTACTGTGCAACTCGTTCTTCAGGTAGGAAGCAATTTTTGAACTTTCCTTGTTTTATATTTTCGTATTTATAATCATTTGTTTTCTCATTATATTTTAAATTGTTTATATCATTGTTATTATTGTAGGCCTATTTATTAACCCAAACCAGTTCTTTAAAATATGCTAAATGTGTTTTGTTTCAATCTGTTGAGACATTTTCGTTGGCTAAATTAAGTTAGATCTGTCTTTTTAATTGTGTGCTCCGTATTTAGTTTAAGATGGGTTATAAGTAGGCATGTTGTAAAATAAATATAATTAGCCTATTTCTGTCATTTGTTGGGTATGGTAGGCACTAGCCTTTCTTGGTAATTGCTGCAATATAGCCTGTTCAAAACTTTTGTGAAGGTTTAAACCCGTTTGCGAGTGCGTTGTTTCATTCTGTTGAGCCATTTTCTTTGGCCAAATTAAGTTCCAACTGTAATGTTGTGTTTACCGCAATATCATTTATCCTGTTCGTATTTTCCCGAAAAACAATGGCTTGACTTACTTTTGATATTACTCTAATAAAGTTTAGAAACGTTTGTGAAGATTTGGTCTGGTTTGGCTATTAGCCTAATATACTGCAGGCCTATGATATGAAGGCACTGCGCACCGGTGCTCCAACTGACTCCGACAGCTGAACTTGAGGTGAGGAAGAATGTTTTAGGCCTACCAGAATTACTCCTATCATATAACAATATAATGCTCATCCTTCAAAAACATATTTGAATCGAAAATTTACGAATTAGCCTCTTTCTGTATGCCTATATCTGTATAGCAGACACAGTAACCTATCAGACAAGTATAAATAAATTCATGTCAGTGTCTTAGCATGCCGCCAGCATATCTCTATCTCTCAGGGGCTAGGCCTAAGCTTCTCTTCCTTTATATTATTAAAAAAACATTCATATAATACAGTGGACACCTAAGCCAATAGACCTACCCAGCAAACAGGGGACGTCCTGAGGACATTCGGCAACATTCCCACTATGTCCCTTAAGGGTTTCGGCGCAACATTATCCCACTGATGTTCTGGGAATGTTCTAAGAATGTTAAGTGATGGTCCCAAGGGAACGGTCTCTGGGGGACCTTCGTCTAGTTCCCTGTAAGTTCACAGGACATCACTGAGGACGATGTCAGGACTTTTTTAGGACGTTCTCAGGACTTTCATTTTACTAGTCCTTAGGAAATCGCGTAATAGTCCCAATGGAATGTTCTCTGAGGGACCTTTGTTTAGTTCCCTTGAAGTTCCCAGGATGTCACTGAGGACCATGTCAGGAATATGGCAGGATCTTTTTAGGACATTCTCAGGACTTTACTAGTCCTTAGGACGTCGCATGATGGTCCCAAGGGAACGTTCTCTGGTTTGTTCCGGGGACGTTTTTAGGACATTGTGTCATGGTCCCCTGGAGGTTTTGTCTAGTTCCGGTTGGTCCCATGGACGTCCCCGAGGACGTTTTTTCTTCGGACATTGTGTCATGGTCCCCTGGAGGTTCTTGTCACGTGATGGTCCCAGTTGTCCCAAACCATTATAAGTAAAGTAAATGGTATGGGGGTTTTAACGTAAGTGGTACACTGTTCAGCTAAAATAGTGTAGAATCTTTAATCAATGACAATATGATTACATTTGACATGATCACTTAATATTTACTTTTCAATATGACCCCACCTGAGATTTGAACTCACTACCTCTGGATTTGGGGTATGCTGATCTTTCTGCTGCACAACACTTTTTGGAAATCCCCTACACATTCATTACCTATAATACATCTCTGCACTTAGAAAAAGAGTGCCATCTGCACTGCTATTTTAGTTATCAGATAATCTGACTATTCTCTCATTGATTTCATTTCCTTATTTCGGCAATTTGAGTTTGGGTTTTCAGAATGGTTGTCTAATGTTGATGGGGCAAATTATTCTGTTTTAATGTTACTCCTGAATCACTATGATAAATGTAATAGTTTTTCTTCAGTGTATTTATATTTTAGTATTATTATTATTATCTCCTTTTTCGATCTTGTCTCATTGCTGCAACTCCCCAACAGGCTCGGGAGGCAAAGGTCGACTCATGCGTCCTCTAAAACATAACCCGCCAAACCACGCTTCTTAACACCTGCCTGCTTAACCAGGAAGCCAGCCACACCAATGTGTCGGAGGAAACACTGTTCAACTGACAACCGAGGTCAGCCTGCAGGTGCCCAGCCCGCCACAAGGAGTCTCTAGAGCACGATGAGCCAAGTAAAGCCCCACCGACGACACTGGGCCAATTGTGCACCACCCTATGGGACTCCCGATCACGGCCGGTTGTGATACAGCCGGTGATCGAACCCGGGTCTGTAGTGACGCCTCTAGCACTGCGATTCAGTGCCATAGACCGCTGCGCCACTCGGGAGGCCTCTTCAGTGTATTTTTAACAGAGATGAGATTTACTTTGAAGTGCTAAGTGTAGGAATAGACCTACAGGTGAAATCAGTCATTAATACAGACATCGTGGAATAGCAGGAAGCTTGGAATGCTGTGAACCAAGAGGTTGTGAGCTCAAATCCTAGATGAAGACATGTTAAATAATAATTACAGTAGGAATAAACATACACAATGTAATCAAGTTGAAAACACTGCATGTTAAAAGCACTGTGTGTGTTTGTATGTGTGTCCCTAACATTTCCAAAAGAAAAAGAGCAGTGACTGGATCAGTGGTTCACCAATCAGGGCCTTGATGGTCATGGCAACAGTAACAAAGTATGATGAGTAATGAAACTAGGGTGCGTGTGCCCTGGTTAAAACTATTTTTTTTTGTGGGAGAACGTTTCTTTGCGACCATCAGATGATGTCCCCGGGACAAACTGGGAACTAGACAAAACCTTCAACGGACCATGACACAACATCCCAAGAATGTCCTAAATACTTCCTCAGGGATGTCCTCGTGACCAACCAGGAACTAGACAAAACCTCTAATCAAAAATCTAATCAAATCAAATTGTTTTTGCCACATGAGCCGAATACAACAGGTGTAGACATTACAGTGAAATGCTTACTTACAAGCCCTTAACCAACAATGCAGTTTTTTAAAGAAAAATGTAAAATAAAAAAGTCTTAATTAAGAAAAATAAAAAATAAAACCAAATAGCTAAAGAGCAGCAGTAAAATAAAATAGCAGTAGAGAGGCTATATACAGGGGGTACCGGTGTGGGGGCACCGGTTAGTCGAGGTAATTGAGGTCATATGTACATGTGGGTAGAGTTAAAGTGATTATGCATAAATAGTCAACAGAGTAGTAGCAGCGTAACAGAGGGGAATGGGATGGGGTTGGGGGGGGGGGGGGGGGGGCCGTCTGTAGTGCCTTGCGGTCGGAGGCCGAGTAGTTGCCATACCAGGCGGTGATGCAACCAGTCAGGATGCTCTCGATGGTGCAGCTGTAGAACTTTTTGAGGATGTGAGGACCCATGCCAAATCAATTCAGTCTCCTGAGGGGGAATAGGTTTTGTCGTGCCCTCTTCGCGACTGTCTTGGTGTGTTTGGACCATGATAGTTCGTTGGTGATGTGGACACCAAGGAATTTGAAGCTCTCAACCTGCTCCACTACAGCCCCGTCGATGAGAATGGGGTCGTGCTCAGTCCTCTTCTTTTTCCTGTAGTCCACAATCATCTCCTTTGACTTGATCACATTGAGGGAGAGGTTGTTATCCTGGCACCACACGGCCAGGTCTCTGACCTCCTCCCTATAGGCTGTCTCATCATTGTCGGTGATCAGGCCTACCACTGTTGTGTCGTCGGCAAACTTAATGATGGTGTTGGAGTCATGCCTGGCCATGCAGTCATGGGTGAACAGGGAGTACAGGAGGGGACTGAGCACGCACCCCTGAGCGGCCACCGTGTTGAGGATCAGCGTAGCAGACGTGTTGTTACCTACCCTTACCACCTGTGGGCGGCCTGTCAGGAAGTCCAGGATCCAGTTGCAGAGGGAGGTGTTTAGTCCCAGGATCCTTAGCTTAGTGATGAGCTTTGAGGGCACTATGGTGTTGAACGCTGAGCTGTAGTCAATGAATAGCATTCTCACGTAGGTGTTTCTCTTGTCCAGGTGGGAAAGGGCAGTGTGGAGTGCAATAGAGATTGCATCATCTGTGGATCTGTTGGGGCGGTATGCAAATTGGAGTGGGTCTAGGGTTCCTGGGATAATCGTGTTGATGTGAGCCATGACCAGCCTTTCAAAGCACTTCATGGCTACAGACGTGAGTGGTACGGGTCGGTAGTCATTTAGGCAGGTTATCTTAGTGTCCTTGGGCACAGGGACTATGGTGGTCTGCTTGAAACATGTTGGTATTACAGACTCAGTCAGGGACATATTGAAAATGTCAGTGAAGACACTTGCCAGTTGGTTAGCACATGCTCGGAGTACACGTCCTGGTAATACGTCTGGCCCTGAGGCCTTGTGAATGTTGACCTGCTTAAAAGTCTTACTCACATCGGCTACGGAGAGCGTGATCACATAGTCATCCGGAACAGCTGATGCTCTCATGAATGCTTCAGTGTTGCTTGCCTCGAAGCGAGCATAGAAGTGATTTAGCTCGTCTGGTAGGCTTGTATCACTGGGCAGTTTGCGGCTGTGCTTCCCTTTGTAGTCTGTAATCGTTTTCAAGCCCTGCCACATCCGACGAGCGTCAGAGCCGGTGTAGTACGATTCAATCTTAGTCCTGCATTGACTCTTTGCCTGTTTGATGGTTAGTTGGAGGGCATAGCGGGATTTCTTATAAGCTTCCGGGTTAGAGTCCCGCTCTTTGAAAGCGGCAGCTCTACCCTTTAGCTGTGGATGTTGCCTGTAATCCATGGCTTCTGGTTGGGGTATGTACGTACAGTCACTGTGGGGACAACGTCATCGATGCACTTATTGATGAAGCCAGTGACTGATGTGGTGTACTCCTCAATGCCATCTGTGGGTGGAGTAAAGCTGGTCTAGAGTTTTTTTTTTTTTTTTTCTGGTTGCACATTTAACATAGAAATTAGGTAGAATGGATTTAAGTTTCCCTGCATTAAAATCCCCGGCCACTAGGAGTGCTGCCTCTGGTTGAGCGTTTTCCTGTCTGTTTATGGCCTTACACAGCTCATTGAGTGCTATCTTAGTGCCAGCATCGGTTTGTGGTGGTAGATAGACAGTTACAAAAAATATAGATGAAAACTCTCTTGGTAAATAGTGTGGTCTACAGCTTATCATGAGATACTCTACCTCAGGCGAGCAAAACCTTGAGACTTCCTTAGTATTAGATTTTATGCACCAGCTGTTGTTTACAAATATACACAGACCGCCACCCCTTGTCTTACCAGAGTCAGCCGTTCTATCTTGCCGATGTAGCGTATAACCCGCTAGCTGTATGTTATCCATGTCGTCGTTCAGCCACGACTCAGTGAAACATAAGATATTACAGTTTTTAATGTCCCGTTGGTAGTATATAGTCTTAGGTCATCCAATTTGTTTTCAAATGATTGAACATTGGCTAATAGGATTGATGGAAGAGGCAGTTTGCTCGCTCACCGTCGGATCCTTACAAGGCACCCCGACCTATGTCCATGATATCTCTGTCTCTTTCTCATGCGAATGACGGCGATTTGGGCCTTGTCGGGTGTCTGTAGAATATCCTTCGCGTCCGACTCGTTGAAGAAAAAATCTTCGTCCAATACGAGGTGAGTAATTGCTGTCCTGATATCCAGAAGCTCTTTTTGGTCAGAAAAGAAACATTTTGTACAGAATAAATTACAAATAACGCGAAAAAACACACATAATAGTACAATTGGTTAGAGGGCTGTAAAACGGCAGCCATCTTCTCCAGCGCCATTCTGATCTCCGGCGCCCATGACACAACGTCCTGATGACTTTAGGAGACCATTTCGTGACGTCCTAACAACTCATTATTGTTTGCAAAGTATGCATGCAATGCCCTGATGCATTTAGTGCTGAAATCTCAGACAGCTGAACCGTGAGGTGGATCATTATTATTTTAGGAAAGTAAAAACCAATAAAACAATAGGCTAAAGTTTTGCATATGCTACAGATCCAAATGCAAGGAATAGTGTTTTTATAATTAGTTATAGGCTGTTTTTAAGGACACATAAATGTGGCTAATTTGGCCAATATCTCTAATTTATTGATGTCACTGGCTGCGTGGGTGGATGGCCTAATGGGTTACGCACCCAATGCATATGGATGACAGGTCAATTTCTTTAATGTCTGATAAATTAAATCTTACCGGTCACTTGTCCGGTACCAGATTATCCTAACAGAAACCCTGGTGTGTGTGCTTGCGTGTGTGTATACCTGTGTTGGTGGTTCTGTGTGGTGATGACAAAGTCGGAGGTGTTCCTCAACTGCTGGCCTGAGAAGCTCCAGGAGAAGGTGTGTGGTTTGGGATAGGCCTCCATGTCCACACGCAGGGACAGACTCTCCCCAGCACGCACACGCACAGTACTGTTATCTGACGGAGCCAGGTTGATGAAACCTCTATCTGGAAGACATACAACAACCCACAGGTCAGACACACTGACAGTCACCCACATGAAAATACCTTTGAATCTTCTTAACAAAACCACTCCATTTCCACTTTGGTTTTCCAATGAGTGTTGCAATAGTTTCACGTTATGGAAATACATAATACAACCCATTCAAATTGAGAATTTCAATATAGATCAGCAGTACACTGTAATGCCATATACTCACCATAGACGTCCAGCCAGATTGACTCAGAGCTGATCCCCTTCTCATTCTGACCCTCACATCGATATCTCCCAGAATCCTGTGTCCCGACAGAGTTGATGTGGAGTGTAGCGCTGCGGACGTGTGTGATGGGCTCAGTCAGGATGCGTGAGCCATTCTCCACTGCCGGTTGCTGTGGAGACGAAGCCCACACGGCATCCTGTCAATCAACACCCAGAGATCTATAGAGATTAACCCTGTCTGGTCTGGGCCGCATTCCTTCCCTCCCCGGGCAGGGGGACAGGAGGGCTTTCCTCTCTCTCACACATACACACACACACACCCCTCAGGACCCTGAGACGCAGTAAACATACACACACAGCCAACTGAACATCACACTAGTTTCTCAAGATACTGATGTTTCAGACTTGGAGCATTTTGGACTCTCTAGCAAACGTTCTTCTGAGATATTTCTTATAAATGTAAAGAATCTAATAAAAAAGACATCTAACTTTTGCTCTATTCCAATAGGGTGAATGCACCAATTTGTAAGTCGCTCTGGATAAGAGCGTCTGCTAAATGACGTAAATGTGCCCTTGAGCAAGGCACTTAACCCTAATTGCTCCTGTAAGTCGCTCTGGATAAGAGCGTCTGCTAAATGACTAAAATGTAAATGTAAATGTAATAAAATTCCAATCTCTTCCAGTCAGTCTATTGGAGAGCTGTCCTCTAGGTATCCCTCTAGCCTCCCTGGCCAACCCCTAGAGAGAGGGCAAAGGGTTCTCACCTTGCCGGGCGGAGCGGCCCACTTCAGCTTGATGTCTCCGTTGACGTTGGTGGTGCTGCAGGTCAGGGTGAGATTCTGGCCCCGCGTCAGGACCACCCTCTTGGGCCCCTGCATCTCAATCATAGGAGGCACATCTGGGACTGAGTTAAAAAATGGAGAATATAAAATAAACTATATCACGGATACAGTACTTCACATCCCAGAACACAAACACAGGAGTGAATGTGCGAGTGCCTACATGCGCAGATGCACGCACAGTTAATGTTTTATTACCTGGTCGCACAGTCAGATCATAGTTGTGTGATTTAACGAGGGCACCGCCCAGTCTGCCAGTGCAGATGTAACAGCCCTCAAAGGCCTTCTTAGTGTCATAGATAACTATGCCCCGCTCCAGGCTGGCAGCATAGTGGAGACCATTAGGGAGGGCACTGCCATGGCACGGCTCCAGGCGTAGGTTGACCACTCCCGGGTCGGTTGCTAGGCAGGGGATGGAGGCACTGTCTCCCGCACGAGTCAGGATACTGAACACTATGGTCTTTCTAAAGGCATTATCAGGATCTGCCAAAAACAAACAACTTTAAATCAACAGTGTGGTATGAAAACAGCCTCAAGTATATGGAACGATGTCCAGAGTACTGTGTGTATAGTTCTGAGAGAAGAGATTAGGAGATTGTGCTAATTATGTTATTCAAACATGGAGACAGATCCAGTTTGATCTTTAGCTAATAATCAATCAATCGCTGACACACATACACACATGCATGTGCACACACACTGTAGGCACTTTCCAAGAAATAAGCAGTTCTATCCAGATGTACTGCCCTATGGTCATGGTACTAGTCCAGGTAGTGTTGAAGATCCAAAGACTGATCCAAATACCTATCAATCCAGTAAACACCTTCATGCACAAACACACCCACACACAGTGCCCCTCTAAAAAAATGTTTTATCACTTCCTCAAAGAAATGTTCACAAGCCTCTCTGAGATCAGACAAAAAAACGTTACCTTTCTCGCTTACAAACTTTGTCCCACCCCCTCTTTCTCTCTATTTCATTCACTTACTCACTCACTCACTCACTCATACCCTTATACCAGTGGTTCTCAATCCTGGTCCTGGGGACCCAAAGGGGTACACATTTTTGTTTTTGCCCTAACACTACACACCTGATTCAAATCATCAACTCGTCATCAGGCTTTGATGATTTTAATCAGGTGTGTAGTGTTAGGGCAAAAACTAAAATGCGCACCCCTATGGGTCCCCAGTACCAGGATTGAGAACCACTGCCTTATACACATAAAAACTCTCACATACATGCCCACACAGGCACACAGGGCTATGAATGTTGAGTCAGAAACACACACACACACACACACCTTTGACGTAGACGTAGACAGAGCTCTGCTCTCCGGTTCTCTCCTCCAGACAGATGTATCGGCCCATGTGGCCAGGCTGAGCTCTGGGGATTTTCAGGATGGACGCCCCATTAGTCCGCTCCTCACCCCTCAGCTTGGGACGGTCCTCCCGCTGCCATTGCACCACCTGGTCACCCTGGCAAAGCAGGCTGAGGGGGGCGTTGAGTGGAATGACCAGGTGGAGGCCTCTGGGGGTGATGGTGGGTCTGGCGCTGCCTGTAGTAACATGGTTGGGATGGTCATTACAGTATTGATCAAACAGGCTCTGGATATCATACACATAGTCACTGAAAACGTAATCATAACACGTCACTGTCCTCACTCAGAGCCATATAACACATAACATAAAGGCTGCAGCACAGACATCATAACAGTTAGTTTCCAATAGACCTTGATCAGTTTCTTTAGGCTAATGACAATTCAGTTTTATATGGGAGGCTTTCACTAAATTGTGTTTAGGTGGATTAAGGGTGAAGAGTACAGGTATGATTAACAAAATGGAGTAAATAAGTAAGAAGGAGAAGTACCTTTCTTTAACAGCAAAGAGTGCACTGCAGGTACTTCAACAGTAATACTAGGCTAGAAATCAGAGGAGGCTGGTGGTAGGAGCTATAGGAGGATAGGCTCATTGTAATGACTGGAAGGGAATTAATGGAACGGTATCAAACATATCAAACATATGGAAACCACATCCATTTCATTTATTCCATTCCAGCCATTACAATGAGCCCGTCCTCCTATAGCTCCTCCCACCAGCCTCATCTGCTAGAAATGTACGTCAATACTGAGGATGGGTAGACAAGAGCCTCAGAGCTTGTTTTGCATGCACTTTGATAGTAATACCAATCATTATCATAGCACTCCTAGCAATATATTGACACCACTTTATGACTGAAAAATGACAGGTGAGTTATCGCTTTGGCAAAGATGTAAAACGATGCACCATGTACAATTCTTGGCACAACTTGAAATATACCTGCAGCAATATCAGCATGGGAGGAGTGTCATATTCATTTTGCCTTGAAGGCCAAACAAGTTATCTCCCGTCCCATTCCTTATGTGCCCTTCGGCTCTTAACCCAACATAAATATTTGTGTATGAAATAGTCAACTAGAACACTTTAAATATAACCTAAATAGAATTTGGCAGAGGATGGGTTAGAACAGTGGAAAAGAAAAAGAAACCACAGGCACGCAGCACAAAATAAACTCCACCTTCAGAGCAGACAACCCCTGCACAGGTGAGAAGCAGGCAGAACTGGTCTACCTGGGCTGTGTCCAGGACAAACACACACCAGGTACAACATACTGTGTGCTGCTCTCTTTAACAGACCACCAATCAGCCAAAACCCACTATGCAAACCAACCTGGACTCAGAGCATTTCGTATTATTCTGTATGTAAATCTGAGACACCCAATTTGGCATGATATGTTACGTTTCATATGGTACGTATTAATTTGTGGATGTCCATCACCCATTTAGTATGATATGTTACGAATTACAATTCGTATTACAGTACCAGTCAAAAGTTTGGACATACCTACTCATTCAAGGGTTTTTCTGTATTTGCACTATTTTCTACATTGTAGAATAATAGTGAAGACATCAAAACTATGAAATAACACATATGGAAAATGTAGTATCCAAAGAAGTGTTAAACAAATCAAAATATATTTTATATTTGAGATTCTTCAAATAGCCACCCTTTGCCTTGATGACAGCTTCGCACACTCTTGGCATTCTCTCAACCAGCTTCATGAGGTAGTCACCTGGAATGCATTTCAATTAACACGTGTGCCTTCTTAAAAGTTAATTTGTGGAATTTATTTCCTTCTTAATGCTTTTGAGCCAATCAGTTGTGTTGTGACAAGGTGGGGGGGGGGGGGGGGGGGGGGGGGGGGTATACAGAAGATAGCCCTATTTGGTAAAAGACCAAGTCCATATTATGGCAAGAACAGCTCAAATAAGCAAATAGAAACGACAGTCCATCATTACTTTAAGGCATGAAGGTCAGTCAATACGGAACATTTCAAGAACTTTGAAAGTTTCTTCAAGTGCAGTCGCAAAAACCATCAAGCGCTATGATGAAACTGGCTCTCATGAGGACCGCCACAGGAATGGAAGACCCAGAGTTACCTCTGCTGCAGAGGATAAGTTCATTAGAGTTACCAGCCTCAGAAATTGCAGCCCAAATAAATGCTTCACAGAGTTCAAGTCACAGACACATCTCAACATCAACTGTTCAGAGGGGACTGTGTGAATCAGGTCTTCATGGTCGAATTGCTGCAAAGAAACCACTACTAAAGGACACCAATAACAAGAAGAGACCTGCTTGGGCCAAGAAACACGAGCAATGGACATTAGACCGGTGGAAATGTGTCCTTTGGTCTGGAGTCCAAATTGGAGATGTTTGGTTCCAACCACCGTGTCTTTGTGAGACGCGGTGTTGGTGAATGGATGATCTCTGCACCGTAAAGCATGGAGGAGGAAGTGTTATGTTGTGGGGGTGCTTTGCTGGTGACAATGCCGGTGATTTATTTAGAATTCAAGGCACACTTAACCAGCATGGCTACCACAGCATTCTGCAGTGATACGCCATCCCATCTGGTTTGGGCTTAGTGGGACTATCATTTGTTTTTCAACAGGACAATGACCCAACACACCTCCAGGTTGTGTAAGGGCTATTTTACCAAGAAGGAGAGTGATGGAGTGCTGCATCAGATGACCTGGCCTCCACAATCCCCCAACCTCAACCCACTTGAGATGGTTTGGGATGAGTTGGACCACAGAGTGAAGGAAAAGCAGCCAACAAGTGCTCAGCATATGTCGGAACTCCTTCATGACTGTTGGAAAAGCATTCCAGGTGAAGCTTGTTGAGAGAATTGAGTGTGCAAAGCTGTCATCAAGGCAAAGGGTGGCTATTTGAAGAATCTCAAATATAAAATATATTTTGATTTGTTTAACACTTTTTTGTTTACTACATGATTCCATCTGTGTTATTTCATAGTTTTGATGTCTTCACTATCATTCTACAATGTCAAAAATAGTATAAATATAGAAAATCCTTTGAATGAGTAGGTGTGTCCAAACATTTGACTGGTGGTGTATATGTTACGAATTTGCAAAAAGTACAATATGTAACACATTTTCAAAACGTGTTATATATTACACATTTTCAAAATGTGTTATATGTTATGAATTTGGAAATGTACAATATGTTGCGAATTTGCTCAATGAACGATATGTTACGAATTCTAGCTAGGTGGCTAATGTTAGCTAGCTCGCTAACGTTAGATAGGCTAGGGGTTAGGGTTAGGGGTTAGGGTTAAGTTTAGGAGTTAGGTTAAAGGATTAAGGTTAGGGTTAGGGGAAGGATTAGCTAAAAGTGTTAAGGTTAGGTTAAGGGTTAGCTAAAAGGGTTAAGGTTAGGGTTAGGGGGAAGGGTTAGCTAACATGCTAAGTATTTGCAAAGTAGTTAAAAAGTAGTAAGTAGTTGAAAAGTTGCTAATTAGCTAAAATGCTAATGTTGTCCGTCATGATCTTCAAACTCGCAACCTTTGAGTTGATAGACGTTCAGGCAGCAGGTTAGGTGAAGGGTTAGGTAAAACTGTTAGGGTTAGGGTTAGCTAACATGCTAAGTAGTTGCAAAGTAGCTAAAAAGTTGCTAATAAACTCAAATGCTAAAGTTGTCTGTGATGATATTCAAATCGCAACCTTTGGGTTGCTAGATATTCGCGGTATATGCCCACCCATCCACCCTACTTTCGTTTTTGCCTTAAGCAATCTTCGTACGTAACCATATGAAATGTAACATATCATCATAAATGGAGCGTCTCGGATTTATGTACAGAATAATACGAAATGCTCTGAGACAAGGTTGTGCAGATTAATCCCCCCTCCCTGCACTCCACTCTACAGAAGAAAGCATTCCTCTATTTCAGGAAGCATCACTTTACAGGATAACTGACATTATTTATCTGTCTTTGCCTGTTTTCAAGTGGGTGTTTTTTGGATTGATTCTTCAACCATGTAAGCAATCACAAGCAGTGATAGGCCTACCACTCACAGCTCAATACTGCTCATTAAAGCTTTAAATTAAATCTATAGGTGAGGCATGCAATTATAGGTGTGACATTACATTCACAGGCGAGGCATGTTGTAAATTGTGTCAAATATGTTTTATATGGTACATGAAGCCCTAACACCAAAACACCATTACAAGGCTTAAAAAACAGAGTTTGAACGCAAATGTTGATATAAAAATTGTTGATATAAAAATGTATGACAAAAGCCTCTCTGTATTGGCTAGGCTAATGGTCACAAAAAATATATAAAACGCCACAGGCCCACAGTAGGTCTATGCAAAACCAATTCTTAGAAAATGCCACTGCTTATTTGCCTACTTCCAAAGAATTCCTCGACATTTCCATAATGACAGTTATATGCTGAGATGACAAGAGATGACAAGCACAGCGCTTATCTGCGGCAATGACTCGAGGCTCTTGGAAAATAACAAACCATTTAGCGAGCCTATCCAAATAGTCCTACTAGACTATTGAACTAACGTTCCCAAATCATATAGTAGAAACTATTCCTAATTGTAATGTCTAACAAACACTTTTTAGCCTACAACGAGGTCACTTATCAATCTGTTCATAAATAAATCGCTGTTTATTTACTTTTTGCCAATGTCTCCGTGCTGTGCCCGGTCCACTAGATGAATTATTGAGATGAACGCAACCTGATGCTGAGCACACAAATATCTAATTTCCTCATTAGGTTTCAGTGACTTACTCAAAATGTAAAAATACAGGTTAACCAACAGGCTATCTCTACGTCCTGAACGATCGGTGTTGCCAAAATCATAAACTATACAAAGTTCAAATCTGCTGAAAAAGGTGTAGGCTAGGCTACAATACAATTCTTAACTGAATAGAAATAACATATTTATAGTCCACAAAAAAAAGAACAAATAATAATAATGAACAAAACAATTTCCAAAAATCTATTTAGTATAGTGACCAAGGTGATCATGTTCGTGAAGTGTGATCAATCACCACTATGTGGTTAAAATATACTTCTGTAAAACAACAACTAGCCTCACAACTGTTGGCAGAGAGACTATGTTGACCAATATTATGTCTTACCTGTTTGGAAGGATAACTGTATCAAGACAGAAAACAGTACCCAGTGGTATTCCATTATTACAATTCCATCTATATTGTAGTGCGGTGCCAATGTCTACCATGAAGCGCTCCCGCTTGTAAATGTCGCGGATTGTTCGGCAGTTCAGTGAAGGCTTAAGACATGCAGTTGAACGTCTTAAACGCACAATACAGCGGGGTATTGTGTTGAAGTACTAGGATCAACTGGTGGTGATGTTGTGTTGAACTGCGTCTATAGAGGTCGTTCGTGGGCAGGGGAGGGTGCGGGTTGTGTGGCATCAACAATAACAAGTATTTCAATCACATTCCATGCATGCCAGAACATCAAAGCAATACTTTGCATTGGAAGAATAGCTGCAGGAAGTAGGGGTGCTGAGGGTGCTGCAGCATCCCCAGATTATAATTATTATTTTTAATAATAATACATATTCTTTGAAATAAATATTTTTTTTTCTCACAAAAGTAGTGCACTGGGCCTTTACTAGTATTAGCAGACCGATATATACATATATTTTCAGCATCTCTGCTTTGGTAAAAAAGGTAGTTGTATAATTAAGAGCAGTATCTTGCAGGATTCAATAGTTGGAATTGTAAGAGTTGTTGCCCTGTCTGTCCCTTTCTCTGCAATTGTCATTCTAATGGATCCAGAAAAAACAAAACCCTGTCCTCAAACATTTACATCAAAAGGTGCAAAGTTATGGGCAAAGACCCAAAACATCCACATCAAATCAAATATTTTTCTTGATCAAATAACATGGAAAACAACCACTTTCTGTGCAGTATTAATTTACCATCCTTACAAACCACTTAATGTAAATGTACATTACTGTATTGTACATAGGCTGGTCGTCTAGGTTTGTACCTGTAGACTTTCCATCACCATGAAGAAAAACAATGCACAGTAATTGAGTACATTGAGACATCAAGTGTTTTGTGATGTGGTGATGTGGCTCAGTTGGTAGAGCATGGTGCTTGCAATGCTAGGGTTATGGGTTCCCTTCCCAAGGGGACCAGCATGAACATGTATGCACTCACTACTGTAAGTTGCACTGGATAAGAGTATCTAATAAAATGGAAAAGGAATACATTATAATTATCTGTACAAAACAGTTAATCTGATAATTAACTGCTGGGGCGTCAGGTAGCTTAGTGGTTAAGAGTGTTGTGCCAGTAACCGAAAGGTTGCTGGTTCTAATCCCCAAGCTGACTAGGTGAAAAATCTGTCGATGTGCCCTTGGGCAAGGCACTTAACCCTAGTTGCTCTGGATAAGAGCGTCTGCTAAATGACTAAAATGATAATACTTGTAGAATATAAAAATACTTCCAGTTTCTTGAAATGCTTTGCAATTGCTACATATATTGCTGTTTCATAAATGTTTTAAACAAGTCATTAATGAATATAATTAACTAGAAAATGACATTTTCTAAAGAAAATGTGTGTGCCTGCTAGTCTTGAAGTGTTTATCGTTGTGAAATAGTAGTAGTGGAGGTAGTGGTAGTGAGGAAGTAATCAGGGATTGACCTTAAAGGGGAAGTTCACCCATTTCTACATTTGGCCTTATTTTCACCTTTGCTGTGCTTATAGTTGATCCCCCAAACCGTTTTTTGATATGTTGTTGTTACAGAGAAAATTGGTAGACACATTTTGCTGAGTCATCACTTGCCATTGACTGTATATAGCCTTCCTACTGTTATTCTATTTTACTGCTGCTCTTTAATTATTTGCTATTTTTATTTTTTAATTATTTATTTTTAACTTAACACTTTTTATTTTTTTCTTAAAACTGCATTGTTGGTTAAGGGCTTGTAAGTAAGCATTTCACTGTAAGGTCTACACCTGTTGTATTCGGCGCATGTGGCAAATTAAATTTGATTTGATGTGATCAGAAAATGTGTCTAAAGCATGTTAGAAAATGCTCTAAAACACTCCAAACCAACTCATATTACATCAGAATCCCATTCTGAATGATTGCTCTGCACTTATTTTTTTAAATGTTCCACTGTCCCATAAATCCATATTTGCATATTTTTGTTGTTGATGTTGTAAACAACAACAAAATCATTCAAACATGTGCTGTACGTTACAAACTAATTTAGAGGAGACACATACTTAAGATGAAGCACCTAGAGTCTACAGTCTAGACACATTACAAAAAATATGCTAGGTCCAGTTCCTCATTCAGACCTTGGGTGTGTAAAGTTTTTAAATCGAAAATCCATCCAGCTTTAACAATTTAACAATTAACAATTCAAGGGCAGTAGTGAATCCAAATACTTCCCATTGAAGCCTATGGAGCTTTTATGCAAATATAAAATGGTTATAGTTCAAAATTATAAATTATATAAAAAAGATTTCTACAAGCAACCTATGTTTGAATGGCGTTTCTAGCTTAAATGGTTGAAGACTAGTTAAGTCGACGGCCATTGAAATGCATTGGGATTTATACAAATATGGTTGTAGTGTGAAAAGTATTAGTAGTATCAAAAAAACTGCACATTTTAAAGTTGTTATGGTGTTGCTAGCTTTTACGGTTTTGGCGCTACAGGTGCCAGCGGAAGGTAAATAATAAGAAGTATGTCGGATTTCTAAAGTTTTCCTTGCTTTCAAGAAGCACACCTAATTCAAGTAAAGACATTTCTTTACTGGAAGTTAAACGATTGAGGGGACATTGACCCTGCCCACTATCCCCCCTAAAACAGAGTGTCTACTGTGCTTCTTGCCACATATGCTTGTCCGCAGGGTCCAAATAAAATAACAACTATTTTTAAACAAAGCTAACATGTCCCATCTTCTCTCCCATGACCCTTCCAGTCCCCACAGCCTGCGTGTGTGCAGCGTGTGTGTGTGTGTGTTTTGGTTAGAGAGAGGGAAAATTAAGAAAAAAAGACAAAGAGATATAACAACATGATGTTGTAACTGAACACCATGGTAGTCAGTCTTGTAGTGATCAATACCAGTGATAATGGATGGCTAGTTCATTCCTCTAGTCTAGTGTATGAAGGATTCAATGGCACCCTGACATTCTCTATTGACCCCACATTGATCCTTAGCAACAACGTCATAGGTACAGTAACATTAAAGCTGTAGACACATACTGTATGCACTGCATTGTGATGTTGATGCTATGGATAACATAATAACAGCACTCTGCAAGCTGCACATGGTTGAAATGGAAATAAGGGGAGATGATGGGGTCGAGTTGGGTGGTGGGGGTTGTTATAGGTTGTGAATGGGATTTAGTGGACATCCCCCAAGGAGCCTCCTTTCCCGTTTGTCCCATATCAGTGGCTGTGAGTCTTTGCTCCTCTCGCCTGTCCAAACACTTTTAGAGGAGTTTGTGTTCCGCACACCCTCTCACAACTCAACAGACAAAAGAGGAGAAATAGAGAAGGAGAAGGACAGGAGGTTGGTGTTAACAGAACTTCTCATCTGCAGTAACAGACAGACACCTATAGTTGGAACTACTACTCAAACATTGGGAGCAAGCTTCTCCCATAAATACTGTAAAAATGTGTGTCACTCTCTTGGTTGGAGACAGAGTAGACAACTCAACTGAAAAACCCATTGTGCAGATTACATTATAGTCATTTAGCAGTCAATCTTATCCAGAGCAACTTATAGTTAGTGAGTGCATACATTTATTTTTTTCATACTGGTCCACTGTGGGAATCGAACCCACAACCCTGGCGTTGCAAGCGCCATGCTCTACCAACTGAGCTACACGGGACTACGGTTAGTGTGGTCTCAATGCGATAGGGAAAAATAATTGTGGGAAACAACATATAACCTTTAAAGGCCATGAACAGTCAAAATCATGTTTTTCATGAAATTGGATGATATTTGGATGAAACCAGATCAATGTATGATGACCAAAGTATGAAAAATGACTGTTGCTTCTACATTGATAAAGTTTGATCATAAAGTTACTGGTCCCCTCCCCCATGTCAAACACTTGGATTCAGGAGGCGGGATTATTAAGGGGATAGGGTGACTTCACCCTAACTGTCATTTTAATACACCAATGGTAACATGATATTCTCTTACCTCATTTAAGTAAGTACTGCCATGTAATCATCATCGGAGAAGGCGTGATTGCGGAGGGGTGGTTCATCTACAATACTGGTGCCAAAATTTGACTGTAGGGTGTCAGCAAATATAATTTAAAGTTTACACTATTCGTCTATGGCAAAGATATATATATATGTCTACCCTTTCATATTCGTCTGGTGTTAGCTAGTTACTGGCTAGCTAGGTCTTCAGCCAGCATGGAACAAAAGGGGGGGAAGGGTCATTCAAAACTCTGATGCAGTTTTCATGTCAACACATCCGTTAGTGCTGCTGTGAACTGCATCACAAGAGACATGTACAGTGAGGGAAAAAAGTATTTGATCCCCTGCTGATTTTGTATGTTTGCCCACTGACAAAGAAATGATGAGTCTATTATTGTAATGGTATGTTTATTTGAACAGTGAGAGACAGAATAACAACAACAAAATCCAAAAAAACGCATGTCAAAAATGTTATAAATTGATTTGCATTTTAATGAGGGAAATAAGTATTTGACCCCCTCTCAATCAGAAAGATTTCTGGCTCCCAGGTGTCTTTTATACAGGTAACGAGCTGAGATTAGGAGCACACTCTTAAAGGGAGTGCTCCTAATCTCAGTTTGTTACCTGTATAAAAGACACCTGTCCACAGAAGCAATCAATCAATCAGATTCCAAACTCTCCACCATGGCCAAGACCAAAGCGCTCTCCAAGGATGTCAGGGACAAGATTGTAGACCTACACAAGGCTGGAATGGGCTACAAGACCATCGCCAAGCAGCTTGGTGAGAAGGTGACAACAAATGGAAGAAACACAAAAGAACTGTCAATATCCCTCGGCCTGGGGCTCCATGCAAGATCTCACCTCGTGGAGTTGCAATGATCATGAGAACGGTGAGGAATCAGCCCAGAACTACATGGGAGGATCTTGTCAATGATCTCAAGGCAGCTGGGACCATAGTCACCAAGAAAACAATTGGTAACACACTACGCCGTGAAGGACTGAAATCCTGCAGCACCCACAAGGTCACCCTGCTCAAGAAAGCACTGACGTTTGCCAATAAACATCTGAATGATTCAGAGGAGAACTGGGTGAAAGCGTTGTGGTCAGATGAGACCAAAATCGAGCTCTTTGGCATCAGTTCAACTCGCCGTGTTTGGAGGAGG